ATTCAATCTTTATAAAGCCTTTTACCCACAAGTAGCTTTTTTTTTCTTGGCTGTACAGAGTTAACAAGTTGATCAGCACATTACTTTTTCTGCCCATTCCGGGCATTGTTTTGTTAGCATTCCATGTCAAGTGGCTAATCAGATAATATAATGGACATCCTAATGCCAAACAGCAGCATGGAAAAATCAGAAAAAAACTTTTATTTCCCCCCTGTCGGAAAAACCTTCTCACTATAACTTTTCTGCTGCTTGGAAGGACTCCAGAAATACTGCATTGCATCCGGGAATTAGTTCTCAGAAGATTTTTTTTGATGTTTTGAGTTCTAAACCAGTCTAGTCTTCCAGAAACATATCTAGCTGATATTTTCTTTTCAGTGACTAGTATATAAAGTGAATAATAAATAAAAATATTTTAGAATTGCGGGAACTGAAATAATGATATTGATAAATACACAGCGGGTTTCACTGCCAAAATATATCTCACTACGGCCAACTGCTCAGCAGGTGGGAGTAACATGAAAATATTTTTAAAAATAAAAGTATGCAACATTTTTATATGATTCATTCCACGTTACCATAGGCATTTCTCTGAGGAATGTAGGTTAGGACCTGTATTATCATAAGCATGCCTCACTGGAGAGAAGGCTTCCCAAATACCAATCTGGATGACAGACATATAAATAGCCTGTTACTGCTCCTACACAAGCTTTGAAGTTAAGTACCTAAAATCAGGTGAGCTGAATTCAGACTTTATTGATAATGGAAGCTGTGGGATTGAATTATTTTTTTAAAAAAAGCTACGTAAGCCCTCACATTGTAGGTGGGGTATACACTATCACTAATTTATAAAATGGTTAAAGAGAAACTTCCTCTACAGACCAATTCCATAACTGCTTATTTGTGAATCTCTCTCTAAAGCATCTGAACTGGCCATCTGAATACAGTCAAGATTGGATAGACTGATACTTGTCTTACTATATGTTTCTACGATCTTACTTCAACACAGAAACAAAGCCCTATACATGTCAGTCAGCACATGGTTCAGATTCTCTGCTGCACTGAGTTTGTAGTAGAGGCAAGGGCCTCTTACCAATTACCACCACACCAGGTAAATGATGATTTTTATGAGCAACTAGCAGAATCATCTGAATCATAGGGCTCGGTGACAGTTGGAGATTTACTACTATGATGTCTTCTGAAAAGAAGGATTCAGTCCAAGTCTTAGTGAAACTGTTGCTGACAACTCTTCTGGCAAAGGAAAGAGATGTAGGTTTGATCCTAACCAACAGAAAAGAGCTAGCTGAGAACGTAAAACTGGAAGGAAATTTAGAGAGTCAGATTATGGAGCAGAATCCAAGAAATGTTGGTTGAAAGGGACCTCTGGAGAACATCTGATCCAACCTTCAACTCAGAGTGGGACTATTCCCAACACTAGATCAAGTCAGCCATGTTTTTTTCTAGCTGAGTCTTCAAAGCTCCAAGGTCAGAGCTTCCTCAGGCTCTCTGGGTAACCTGTTTAGGTGATGCAATGCCCTCCTGGGGAAGAGTGACTGAGTTTATGAATCTGAGGCAGTGAAGGAGACAGATTACAGAAATAATACAACCGACTTCAATGCATTCAGAATTTGCAGGAAGGAGCCCATTAGAAATAACTTCATGGGGAAAGGAGATAATGAGAGGTAGCCATTCCTTTATAAAAAAAAAGAGGGCAGAAGCACATTCTACACCACTGAAAGATAGAAAATATATTAAGACATACATCTGGCTAAACCACAAATATTTCACTCAGGCAAATACTCATGCAAAAAAGAAGAACAGAAAGTGAAACTGTGTTAAATTACTAACTTGGGTACCAAACATAGCATGGCAATGTAGGTACAACAATCAGAGAAGGAGATGCCAAATAAACTAGTAAAAGAAAGAGTGAATGTCAAGAAGTAAACTAGAAATAATTAAGAGGAAGGCCAATGGAGAGAAATAGCTAACAGATGCTACTGAGAAGACTGATGTGTTTAATGCCTTCTTTTACCTTATTGCTCTCAGAAAGGGCATCTGTGTACAGGTAACAATGAGACATCTATGAAAACCCAGGTGAGAACAGATCTTGCTAGTAAGGGCTTGGATATTTTTACATCTTTGTAGGTTAGGGAAATTCATGCTATGATAGTTATAATACTGGCTAAAGAGGTCTAGGAGCCATAATAACTATCTTTGAGAACTCACAGAACACAGGGTATTGTAAAAAACTTGAGGAAAGTGCTTATGTCAAAAAAAAACAAGAGCAAAAGAATTAAACACAAAGTTTGGGAAATGGGGGAACATGTGAGAGATGAATAATAGGCAGTACAGATTTGGTCAGAACAAATCACATCAAACTATTTAATTTCATGAAAGGCTAAAATTTTCTATTAGGAGGAGAAGCAATTGATATGTTATATATTAACGCATTTACTATCTTAGAAGTAAGGCAGAGAAACCCAGTCTAGAGGTAAGTAGGTGTGCAAAACCATATTCAGAAGTTAATTATCAGCAGCACACTGTCCAATTGGAAAGATAAATTGAGTAGGATTCCACTGGGGACTGTCTCAGGCACTAAGTAAGTAATTAATGAAAACACTGAATAATGGAATATGCTACAAGCTTATTAAATGCATGGATGATTGAGCTGCAGGGGCTGTAAGCTCCTTGGAAGCCAGGATTAGAATTCCGACTGATCTCGATAAACTGGAGAAGTGGTGCAGGGAAAAGAAAGAAGGACAAGGTTGTACACCTAGGATGAAACAATCCACAGAGCACATGCAGGATGGAGAATAATCAGGAAGACAAAATTTTGCAGAACAAGATCTGCGTACTAGATTGGGTTACAAGTGGAAAAATAATTAACTGTATCCTACTGTACAGAAGTTAGCAGAGAGTTTTTAAACAGGAATACCTTCTATAAAACAAGTAAACCTCTTCTTGTCAGTGCTGATAAGAACATAGGCTGAAGTACAGAACCTGCTCTTGCTTTTCAAGTAATACATAGACTAACTGAAGAGAGCCCATAGCAACAGTAAGAAGTTTAGAAAATGTGACTTATGGGGAAGGTTGAAAGAACTGAGGTTAAATAAGAGAAGTTTGGGGTAGGTGATGTCATGGTAATGGTCTTCAAATATAAGCAGCAACTGCAAAGACGAGTACCACTGCGTATAAAGCAAGAAGCCATGGGCATAAAACACAGGAAGAGAAGTTTTCAAACGATAAAGAGAGTTAAGCATTGGACTATATTGCCTAGGAACAATGTTGTGAAGTTCCACCTTAGCCTAAAGGTTAAGAACAGTCTAGAGAAAAAAGTTAAAAAACATTTGACCGAATGAAAGTTATAGCTGATCCTGTACTGGGCAAGATAAGAAACATGAATTTTTCAGGTCCCTTCCAGCACACATCTACTCATGTATTTTAACAGTTCTAGTTTATTTTATGAAAATAACTTCCTCAAAGCATTTCAGGCATGGCTTCATAAAAAGCTGAGCAGTCTACTGTTTAGATTCAAGAAAACATATTCTTCCTTTACTGCTTTCCTTTTCAGATATTCATAAAAGCAACAATCAATCTACAGCTAAGAAGATAACAGTCTTGAATAGGGTTTTCAAGTATTAAAATGTGAAACAGCGAGAGACTGTACTTTGGTACCTATGCATAGTTCTTCACTAAATGTATTTATTTTGCAATTACATGGACTATTAGTTCTATAATAAGTTATCATCTCAGCTATGTCCTTCTGGGTGCAGATTGCAGTGGCTGAAATCTTTCAAGCAAGGTCTGAACACAGAATATATTTTGTGAAATGGGACTACTATGAATAATGCCAATCGCCAGCATAATATGACTAGGTATATGCCTGCATATAGTCGGTGTGCTTTGTGTCAATGTAAATAATAACAAAGTATTCTCAGAACGTTTTCTTCTTAACCTCAGGTTTCCTCTTCTGGGAAGAGGACTTTTCGTAAAAAAAGGGCTCGGTTGTGGAAACTACTTGCTAGCTCTCAAATCTACTTGTCTTGGAACTGGCTGGTCTGCTGGAAGACATTTGATTTGACGGAATACAAAGAGGCAACCGTAAAGATAATCCAGAGCTTGCTGAGCTATGAGTCGTTTACAGGAAAAGTACTTCAATAATTTCAGGAATTTTAAACAAGTTTAGCGTGTTGTGGGCAAACATCCAAGATACCATTAACTTGATGCAGACTGAAATGTAGGTGCCCTGGAAAATGCACTTCTTTCACTTCACCAATTATTTAGCTGACAGGCTCCTCCAAACAAGGATTTTGCTTCACAGTTAAATATTTTGGCAGTACTTTGTGTTGCAAGCCTAGCACATACTGGACTTGTTTCCGAAACTTCCTGTTGGTGAGGGTCAAAAGTCTTTTAAGTTAGCGGATGAGTAGCAAAGTTTGACGGTGTAAACACAATACAATTCCAGACAAGCTGGGATCTTATGAAAAAAATCTGGGAAAATAATACTCCTATGTTTTAACCCTGAAGAGAGGAACAAAGCAATTTTATAAACTAAAAATATGGCTGTGACTCCAGCTAGAAAATTCTTGTTTGTTGATACTATTAACACCTTGGTTTTTTTTTTTTATTACTGTTATTCAGGTTTTGCTGTTATTGAAAATTTTTTCAAATCATTATTGTATTTTTCTCCTCCAGTGTCAACTGAAGAAAATGAGTAGGCTATCTTTTGAATACAGGGCAAGCACAACAGCAAATGTAGTGTGTGCATGCCAGGATTTGGAGATAAGCAGGTACTTTACAGGTAATGTTTAGGTCTTGCATTACACAGTATTATTTATTTAGTTTGCAGAAGTGTGACATCGGTTCCTTTTCACCTCTTCAAAAAGAACAAAAAGGACAAATAACTCTCAGAACACTTGAACAGGGCTATTAACCTCTAGGAATGACATAATAGCAAAAAAGCTGAAATACACATCATGAAGAAACACAGGACTAATTTTCAAAGTTGAACTGTCATGCACTCAAGTCAGCGCTGTTTTTTTCCTTCCAAATGGTTATTTATCAGTGTTTAAAAGAATGCCTATAAGGCACCCATATTTACAGCGGTGTAACATTTAAAGGAGGACACAGTGTGCAGCTAGAGAAGACATGCAGTTAACTCCGGTGAAGCATAGAGGAAACAGGATGGAGAAGAGATTCTTACTGTATGAAGCTTCTTTCTTATAATGATAGTCTTAAAGATACGAAAAGATCTTGAGATTGTATATTTATTAGCGGGGTACCCATTGCTAATAAAAAATTGTGTATTCTGAGATAATGGGTACTTAAAACTCTGCATGAAGTCACCTGGCTGCTGTGTACACTGCTGCAGCATGCTAAACAACCTGCAGCTGCCTTATATAAAGCAGGAGAAACAATTAAAAAAGGTTTTAAAACTAATTACAGGTAAAACCAGACAGTCATTCCTTAGAACAGCTTGTACATTTCACTCCTTTTTTTTTCTTATCTTTTTGTAAGATGTTTATCTTTGTGAGCACACAGTTTCAGAAAGGAGAAATGTATTTCTAGTCTTCAGACTCAATCTCTGGAATTTATGTTACATGATGGTAGCTGGGTATTTCTAATCAGATGATTAGGTACAGAATATTTAATAATGTTGACATTTACATGGGCATGGTCAGGTTTCAACAGTTTGAGATGAAAGAACAGATTAACAATAGTTTGAGATGAAGAAGCTATTTCCTGTCTCTTGCAGTTATTGTTTCAGGCTGTTTGTAAAGTACTGAAGAAAATACTCTTTAAAGTGGATCCATGTTTTATAATGTTATCTCCAAACCTGCAAGTATGAGATACATACTATTTTTATGACAAAACTGGTCCTAGAAGACAGTTCTGCATGAAAATCTACCATGACAATTCTGCAGCATGCAAAATTACAACGGTTATATACCTAGTAGTTCATTACCAGTACTACTATCAAGAACCATCCTAATAGCCACACACAATCGAAACATTTTGATTTTGTATCTTAAACTTATTTTCTCACCTTAAACAGGGAAGAGAACACATGAAATGTATAAACTGCACAGGAACCATCAGAGTCGCACATGAGCTGGTTGATATGACTACGCCAGGCTTCTTCTGCATCATCACATGCTGCTGGCTGAAATGCAGCAAGGATGGCAGAAAAAAATGGTGAGGGAGGAGGCGAGGCATTTCGATCAACATCTCCAAAGCTGAAGGAAAAAAAAAAACCAACTTAATGAAAGGAGAATACCAAGAAGATGGCAGATAAAATACACTATAACAGAGAGTTATAATCACAGGACCAATTACAGCACCTTTCTAAAAATATTCATGAACTTTCAAATTCCTTTTGAAGCTGGCAAGATATTGGCTACAGTGAGAAAATTTGGATTCCTCCAAATCCAAATCCCTGTCTTCAGGCCATTATCATCTATCTTCCTCCATTCCAGAATACCTGAATTGTTTTATCGTACCATTGTTTGTAGGAAGAAGGAGGATAGAACCCGTGAAGAAAAACTCCTCTTCTAGGAAAACTTGGTTATAATAGTAAGTACTGAAAATAATCTCAGCCTGTACAAACATTATATATACTGACCTGTTTGGTTTCCCCCCAATGTAATGAATTGGAGAAGATACATCCCTTCTCCACACTGTTCCTAGGACAGAGCGTTATTTTGGCACTCATGGTCAGCAAAACAGGCTGACTACCATTTTTAAAGGGTACTAAGCCACTTGATCTTGTATATTATCCTTTGGGATGGAGAAATACTTCCTATGGCTCCCAAGAACAGGAACTGTGATTCTGAAACATGTGGCACACAGACAGAGAGAGGGCTTCTTTATATATCCTCATTCCTTTCCTTTCCTTTCCACAAATACGGGCTAATTGCAGTCTAACTCAGCATTCAAAATCTGAAAGAGCTCCATAAGGCATGGAAAAATCTTGGTGCTCTGTTGCAACATATACTGGGGTCCAGCCACTCTTATCGGCAGCCGCAAGAGTATGCAGATGGGATCTTTGACAATATTATGACTTCCTTATGACCCATAAGAAATCAGATGGATGAATACATGGCTGATCTGTTGAACAGCTAACCAAGCAGTATTTCCATTACTGCGAATCTTTAAAAATCCTTTTTTTTCTTTTCATTAAATATATTACATATATAATGACTAACTGCATAGATGTATGAACAAATCATAACTTGTTTTTCCTAGAAGGAAAATCTTAGGGTTTTTGTGAGTTGTGCGATAATTATGCAGGTAATTAGGGCATTGTCTTCTCACTGCTCTAAACTCATGAGAATTTTGTAACTCCTGTGGCCGAAACAGCCATTCCATTAACTAACACCTTGTTACCACTTTGTTGTACAGTGTAAAAGAACTTTTATGAGTAATAGCATACACAAGTACCTAGCAAGAGCAAATTGTTCCAGCCTGTCAACTTTCTCTTCAGTCTCTGTCATATCCAGACTAAGGCTATCACTGCATTCAAATGCTCCAGGGAGTTCATTTGTAGACCCCGAAAGGTCATCTTCATGGACTGCTGTATCTGGTTCTTCATGTACAGCTTCAACCTAGGGGAGTGAATGATGATGTCTTAGAAAACAGCAAATTAATAAGTTAATTCCACTAATAAATAGAAAGCATTTAATGAAAAAACCCACCTGACAACATGTTAAATTGCACAGGTATAAAGCCACAGATTATAAATGACATGAATCAAGTTATGCTTCTTCAAAAATACTGTATTTGCTTAACTTGATGTCTTGGATCAATATTATTTTTAAGGCGTTTCTTCAACTTAATTTGTCTAGCAAAGAATTTCAGATTTCAATGCATTTGGCGACATGGCAGGGAAGTATTTTTTCAGGAAAAACAATAGGGTTCTTGTTACTGTCAGGCTGCCCTTGTCACTTATCACTTTATAGTGTCCAAGAGTGTATTAAAGCCTCTCAAAATATATTGAAAACAATCACTGTCTGGAAGACTATATGCGTGTTTAGAATTGAGAATTATTTTTAGCATGTCATTTATATAATAACTTCCATTTAAGAGGAATCCAAAGCATTCTACAGGTCATTAAAAGGATTATGCTTCTATCATTTCCTTCCTTTTTCATCCAGTAGCACCTAAAGATCTTGATTTCTTTTTGAAACTCTCCAATTTCTCTTGCATTTTTAGTCTGAACAAATTTTGTTTCAGTTTTGATCTTTTGGCTTTTGTCTGCATCATCCATAGCATCCTGCAAAGCAGTTCCTGTAGGGATGACTGCAGTGGGTAGCTCAAACTCTTTATCTTTTCTGTTTGGGGTATCTCATAAGGTGTGTGTTTGTGCACATATGCATATGTGCATGTACATACATGTGTTGGGAGCTGGTAGGGAGGGAAATCCATGGCAAGTGGAATTAAAAGAGAAAAGTGGCCCTCTGCAGGTTACCAGACCTGCTTGGATCCTACAGATAAATTCTGGGGATTTGCATTTCTAAAAATTAAACAAGACTTACATCAGAAAGGACAGGATCAGAAATTAAGTAGGAGAAAGGTTTTTTGGTTTGTTTTGTTTTCAAAGCGAAAGGGACAGGAATATTTCTGAGTCCAGGGTGGATGAAATGAATCAGAGCACAAACCATCTTGAAAAGAGAGTTGAAAGCTATACGGCTGAATTACCAGAATAGGAACCAGAGCAGTTGGCAAGAAGCGTAAATGTTTCATGCTTCTTCAAGAAGTAGTTAGCATTAACCGCTTTCAAATATGAAATATTAGCTTGAAAGAACCATTGGTTTGTTCACTGCAATGACAGTGTTTGTATGAGGAAAACACATTTTGATGGGATAGGGTAAGGGAGGAAGAAAGAGGAAGCAAACACCTCCCATCCACTGGAGTCCAATACGATGTCTAAAAAGCAAAATAAAAAAGTGGACTCCGAATATTCATGCAGGATTGGAGTACACTTCCAGAAATCAGTGAGTTTAGATAATTTGAAAAAAATATAAAATAGCATCATCTGAATCTGTGTATCCCTCGTAGCATTATCCATCACTGCCTTCTAATCCCTTCTAAATACTATCTTAATTATTGTGATCACTATCTTTAATAGAAAATAAGTTTAAGTAATTTTGTGCCGTTAACAATAATACCTGGATTTTGGCAGTGAAACATTTGAGAAAAGGCCTACTTAATCAGCCTGTTGCTCTCATTTACTGCATCTATTTAAAAGTTGAGGTAATATTTTTGTTTTTGCTTATGATGCACAACTAAACATTTTTGTACAGCACTAAAAAAGTAACAAAAATTTCTTCTGCATTGCTGACATACCATCAGCTCTCTGAAAATAAGAAGTCAGAGGAAAAGAGAAACAGGAAAGAGCTCAGATTTTGTGTTATCAAATTAAGTAAAAATTATTTAGGTGCAAATTTCAAGTTTTCTGACTAAAAATTGGATTACTTCTTCCTTAAAATAAATATAAACCCAGGCATTTTAACTTTGTTTATACTGACTCCAATTTGTTTTGAGTAAAAATACAGAAGTATGCATACTAGAAGAAAATATCTTTGAGGCAAAAACCACTAAGAAAGCATTATGTGTAAAGTTATCAATTCAAACATCGTTGTAACATTGGCAAATCCCTGTCAACTTGGGTTATGTATTTCACCAATATCAAACCTGTGTCAGGACTAGCTGAATTTGCCTGTCAAACCCACAAGAAACTGCTGTGATTTTACATTCTTCACTTATTTACTTTTTCCAAAGCTTTTCATTTTTTGATGAACACTGCATGGGTACTGGGACTTTAAAGAAATTTTCACAGTAAAGATTCTAAAACCCCAGGTATATATGAAACTCATGAATTCTGATTTGCAATTCTTAATGTACATACCAATAGCTACTGCAGCTGCGAGCATGCGATCAGCCACAGTCACCACCAGCAAAAGTATCTGTTCTGACTGCAGCTTCCTGAACTGAAATTCTGCCAACTTCTGCTGCTTATAGCTGTTATGTGGTAACTCGTCTATCAACAGTTGTTTTGACAAATGATAATAAGTTTATCTTTTCCACAACTATTATTTTGAGAGGTTCCCCTCCTTTCCTATCCTTAACCACATTTCCCTCCTCCTGTCCTTTCTTCTTCCTGGGGAGGTTTCTGACACAAACAATTCGTTCAATATTCAGCACAATTCCAAACTCCTTTTTTATGACCTCTTCACTAGACGTTTCCAGTACTTCTGTTATATGCAGTGCTAGCAGTACTGTATCAGTTTTTTGTGTGGCTGCATTTGGAGGGGACCAACGGCAAGAACTGGAATGAAAGCTGATGATTACACAAGACAACTATATTCTTCCCCTGCCCCAGTCTGCAGAAGCCACCCAATTCAGACATGACAGAGAAAGCTGTACTGGTAAGGCAACAGTGTCATAAAGCCACTGACCCACCCCACCTCACCCCCAATTATATTTCTGGAGAGACAGTGAGAGGAGTACGTTCACCTGATCTCCCACAAGTAAATATTATTAAACAGAAAATTAAAGAAACTGTCCCCACATTGATAATTATTTACCAACCTTACATTATATTAATCTTCTGATACAATTGTCTGAAATAAACTGGGCTGAACGTGGTGGTTGTATCCTTGCAAATCTTGCCTCCCCCCACCCCAGATGGCTTAATCTTGTGGTCATGAATTTAAAATTTCTGAGTGTCTGCCAAAAGGCAAGAACTGAATCCAGTGCACGCAACTGTACAATAGGTTCCCACATACAAAAAAATCTCAGAGAATACACGCATTACACCCACCACATGAGTTGGCATATTGGTCTTTTAAATCAGCATGAAGAACAAAAGAGTATTCCCTTAGGGTTGTAACTTGTAACCTGTTCATGAATTTTTCTTCCAATGAGCTTGTAGTATCTCAGTGCATATGCAGTGCAATATACTTAAGAAACAATAAATAAAATCTTTTAATAAAGGAAGTACAAGTAGAAAGGAAAGGGTATGGAAGTGCATATGAATGTATTGTACTATGCCATTTTATACAGAAAGTCAGAGTGTACGTGCTTCCACATATCAAACTCTTCACAAAAGTGTAAGTAAAATAAACCTGTAGAAGTGTTATATAAAATACTCTGCAGTTGAAAGTAAAAATGTATTCACCTTGGATCCTTCAGATACTTGGAGATTATTCATATCAGGTAAAGACACATCAAAGCTAGACGTTCCTATATTAAAATGATGAGGGTCTGCTGAGGTTGTGTCACATGATGTAGACAGTGAATCAATATGATTTGTATCCTCAGATGAAATAATCTGTTTAAAAGACAACAAAAGCACAGAAGAACTGGGTATACAGCTACCCTACCACACACTGCTTTTATGAACATGCAAAGCAGACATTGTCTTAAAGGGCAGCTACGGTGGCTTTCTTAGTTTGTACATACAGGCATATTATAACCCTTTCAATGCTTCTATCATAAAAATTGTATGCAAACATCCCAGAAGTGAACAATGAAAACCTGACACAGTTTACCAAACTGGAGTCTTGTCCTATTTCTTTAAGTATTAGATGCATCAGAAAGATTAACTACTGGCCATTTGTGCAAAATTGTCACATAGTAATTTGCGGAAAAAAGGGCAAATGATCATATCTGATGCTTCTTGTGTTTCAAACTTCGCTTTAAAATTCCTGTTTACATTTGCAAATAAGGGAAAATCAAGCAGCGACAAAACACCGCATTGAATGCCACCCCCCAATTTCAGCTGATTAGATTGCACCTGGGCGAGAGGAAACTAAAAGCCCAGCTTATTTAAAAACAAAACCCTATCTATTCTTAAATTGCAAGTTTACAACTTACTAGGTCTGAGTTCTCCAAGATTTGGCTGGTGGTCAGGTCCTCCTCCTCTGATGACTCATCAGAGTCCTCATGGTTCATTTTGTTCAGGCTGGGCGTGCTCCCTGAGAGCTGGCTCTCTTCCAGCAGCTGCATGTCACACTTGTCCAGGCTGTCCAGGGACCGTCTGCGTACTCCCCAGTTGAAGTTGTCCATGCTCTCACCCTGAAATCAGATATAGGGTCAGCTTCCTTGATTTGAAACTCATCATATACAAACCACTAATCATTAGATTAAAGTTAGCTCAAGAAATATTTTTACGTAAAAATATAATACAAACTTGATATAAACATTATTTTGTTAAGCAATAATGTAACAGTGGCATTTATAATTTTCCAGCACTTCACCTGGAGATAAGAGCGGAAGCATGGAAATGACAGTTAAATGAAGATTCATTCTTTTCAGTATTAGATGTTTTTCATGCATTTGCTGATTTAAGAATTCTTTTTTATAAGTCCACATAATCACACACCTCAATACCAGTAGAGCAATGACAGGCAAAAGAAAAGTTTGGAAGCAATTTTAAAGGATTTGTCCATGATGTTTAAAAATATTAGGAGCACAGTTCATAGCAATGGTTCAATTGCGAAACATATGTTAAAGATTTTAGATTCTTTGCATTATATACATAACCACAATGATGAGTAGATTTGAATGAACCCTTCATTTACACACAAAATGTAATAGCTAAAGCAGCACACCTTTTAAAACTTTTATTCTAGGCCCATTGCTTATTTTTGTAACTTGAATTTATTTGAATTATTTGAAACTATAATTTGAGAATAACCTGATTAGCATTGCCTAAAATTTCACGTTTTAAAAAGGACACATTCAAATGGACCAAACATTTTACATCATTGACTTTCAGTTCTGATCCCACGCACAGCTACATAAAGCCTAGTGCATTAAGCAAATTGCATAACTATTTGTTAGGCTGGTGAACTGATACAAAGATCACTTAATTTCTCTCATGTATAAAAATGACAATTAGTTTTCCACCATTTTTCCATTTGTTTACTTTATGTATTTTCCAGTGGACTGTATCCCTTTTCCCTAATTGTGCTAATTCCCTTGCTCCCTTCTTCGAGTCTAGCCAGGTTCCTCTCCAGCAAATGCAGGAGCACGTCCACAACTGCTCCTGTCATGGACCCGCAGAGGCCTAAGGAGCTTTACACAGCATGAAGGATCTACCCAGAAGTATCCAGCTGCAGTTTTGGGTACTTCATCTAGGTGAAAGCCCTCAGCCTTACATTAATATGGGAAGGAATTTTATAGAGAAAAATGCTTCTTTTTAAGGTTCAGGGCTGACTGTTTAAAACAAGACTCTGTAAGATGCAACACTCTTAAACAAGCAAACCAACTGCTGAAAATTCAAGTTGACAGTGATCTTTTAAATATGAATTTGACAAAAATATAGTTCTGCCTAAAAAAATCGTAAATATTATTATCAAATCAATGATTATGAGTATCTCCTGGGCTTATGCAGATTAAAATTATGTGCAATCATAGAGAAAGAGTTCTCTCTTCAGTAAGGTCCCTTAAGCAGATTTGTAATTTTAAACACTTGAGTAATCCCCATTCAGGATTACTCAGACGTTTACTGAATGGGGACCAAACTGTGTAAGTGCAATTAATTCAATTGCAATCTTACCTCCTTAACAATCAACAAACTTGTACAATAGATCTTATTTTGCATCATTGCCCTTTAATGCAATGGATATGGAATATGTTTAGAAAGAGGGAAAGTTCCGTTTCATGACACTAGGCTCACCGTTCATGAACAAATACGAGGAAAAAAGAAATAAGTATTTTTTAGGAAAAAGACAATCCAGAAATGCAAGAACTGTAATCCACAAGAACATGTAGAACTAAGGAATGCACTATATGCAAGAGCAAATGAACATGAAATTGTTATGAAGCCCGACACATTATTGGAAGAACCCCGTCTTTTCATCCTGGGACTGGGATCATACAGTAGTTTTGTGCGGGAAGAGAACAGAACACATCTAAGATTTAAGAAATTAGGTCTCATTAAATCATAAAAATGACTGTTCTGTTCCCAGTTATTTATTTTAACAAATTCTTTGGCTGTCCATTCTCCCCCACAAAGGCTGGAGGACACATGCAGCAATGAGACATCCTCCAGAAACACATCAGTTACTGAACTAACAAAGGACAAAATGACATCAATAAGCAAGCAAGCAAAGATGACCATCATCACATCCTGATCCTCATGATGCCTAGTACAGCTATCAGTAAACTTTGCAGCCCATCTCTATGGGAATATTTCTCGTTGCAGTTTTATTCTGCAATGTCTTAAAGAAGGAAGCCAGCAAAAGGAAGAGAAATGAAAAGGGACACTTCTAGGGCATGCAGTTAGAAGGGGGAGTGAATTAAAAGTGAGGGAAAAAGGTAAGAGAGATGAAACACAGTATAGCATAAGCTTGCTACAGGGGCACCCAAAATCAGACTGAATTTAAACAAAAGGTCAACACATGTCTACGAAGATGGAGTTGTTTTTATAGTCTGTTAAGCAATCTTTCTTTCACAGTTGACAAGCAGGAGGGAAGATGTATTTGAGAGGCTGTTCATTTTTATCTACAGCCGGTGCAAAGCTATCTCCTATCTTGAAACGTCACCAGTAACCAACACCAATTCAAAAGAAAACAGTCACATATTATAAATGTGTCTGGCCCGCAGTGAGCAGGTACCACATAGGACTTCCCACAATCACCACCCTCTGGTAAAGGAGTGGACGTGCCATTGCAGCCCCTTTAAACATTATGATAATCCAGGGCAAAGGAAAGACACAGAAAGGGCAGTAAAAAGGGAAGTAACTCTATGTGGGGGAGAGCAGCGTAGCTCCTCCATAAAGCTGGTAAGAATCATGCAAAACTTCTTTCACACAAGTTTTTACCTTACTGTATTGACAAACTATGCAAAGTTAATGGATTCGCACAAATATTGTAGGATATAGGCAAAAGTGTTGTGGACCTGCATAGTAAGGCACTATCTCCATATATTTGTACCTTTTAGAGCACAGGCATTTTGAAAGGAAGATTTTTTGGGGGTTGTGTTTGCATAATAACTGATGTACAAACTATCAGAAACGAATATGCAAAATACCATTGTTGCTGATTTTTGTATCATTTGTACAACTCACTACAATTCTCTATCATTTCAGTTCTCGCTATACATTGATAAACTGCAAGTTTAGGTCCCAAACTGGCAACCACTGATGTGCCTTTTCAGTTTTCTTCACAGGGTAAATGAGTCCTGCAAAGTTGGTACGAGTATACAGCTGAATTAAATTAAGCTGTATGAATTAATTAATTTATTCAGTTAAATTCAGGCTGGTAGGCAATGATGTAAACTTTCTGAAGAGGTCTCAGGTATCAGCTTTAGCAAGATGCTAGCAGGAGCCAATATACCACAACTGAAAAGTTGGAAATTACATATAATTTGCCTATGGAAACAAATGGACCAAACTTTACTACATTATAAATAATGAAGTTCTTCTTTTGTTTCTACATATTATTTATGCACAAAGATACTAAAAGGAGAAATGGCTCAATTTGAAAAATGCTGATACTAGAATTAAGATACTTTAAAATTTGTGAAGACTGTTGAACATGTCAAAAACAAACTTAAAATGAAGCAGAATTTTTGAAGATGACTTCAAAATATTTCAAATACAAGACAAAAAATGAAGCACCTGTCAGAAGTGCAAGCACACACCCCCCCACCCACCCACGGACACACTGAAGAGGGGGAGGGCAACAACAAAACTATGATGTTATTCTATAATACAAGTTTGCAAGAAGGCATAACATATACTGGCACATCTGAGTTCAAGTAGCATTCTTACCTGAAGTTCCTGGGTAGCAGATATAACAGACAGAAAAACAAATAGAAAGAATCTATGTAAAATTACTGTATGAAAGACATCATAGACAAACATTGCCTACAATTTTAACTAATATTATCACAGAAACTTCAATTCTTCAGCCTATCTTTTAAGTTTGAAAATAACCATTACTTGCTTTCACATCTTCATGAAATTTCAAACAAGTACATCTTGTGGTCTGGGGATGATACAAGCATCACTGGCCTGTTTAAATCATATGGTTTTTTTGGAAAGACTATTTGTGCTCTTGCTAGCTTAAGTTTTCTAGCATTGTTTTATTCATGTTTATGAATATATCAAATTCAGACCTGACATAAATGACACAGTTTCAACTCAGTCATTAGAGATGTAGCCTCTTAAACCAGATTTGAATTTGGCTAAAGTATCTATTTATTTAAAACAGTACTAAGTCAGTCTGGACTAAACATTGGAATGCAAGGTCTCAGATCCATGGCAATTTAAAAACTGTATTAAGTAAAAGACTACATTTTTCATTTTACTTCACATAAAACTAGAGAAGCTTAGTATCTGTTCCACGACCGACTTAAGACAATTAGTATATTGATTAATTTAGGCCTCAGTCTTGAAATTAGCCACACATATAAAACAAATCTTTGCAGGGTCACAGTCCATGAAGGTAAACTCATTTTGATAAGAATTGTTCTGCACAATTATATATAATCTGTATATGGTGAAGAGAAAGAAGAAATTCCTGAATTTCACTGGACAAAAAACTATCATGTGGTATTTATCAAAATTGCAGTCCCAAGCCCTTGTAATATCTTGAAAGCATTTAAGACCCAGAAATGATCGCAGCCAGTATACTTTTTGACAAACAACCTAGCATTGCCGTTTTATCATTTATCATTGTTTGGAACATTAAAGCTCCTTCATAATATTTGGCTAATGTGTTTTCAACCATTGATGCCAAGAGCTTTTTTTTTTTTTTTTTAAAGCAAAGTCATGAGCAGCTGTGAGCCCAAATTACGATATTTTGATATAGAGATTCCTAACTTGGAAAATAAGGACTCTGTGACATCTCTTTCCATTCCTTCATCCTCTCTCTTCATTGGAAAAAAAATTAAAATTCAGATGTACATGAGTTCACGCCTGAGGGGTCTGTTCACCTTAAAATTATTTTACTACTGTAATTCAGTTAGGGAGAAAACTGATTATTTCTTCGTGTACACATGTTCTTCTCAGGGCTAAGAGCGATGCCTGAGAGAATTCATGTTAAAATCGAGTCCAGATTATGACAAGACAATTTATTAAACTGTTAGGTTTGCTGACCATCTGCACCTTAAGTACTTCAAAAGAGCTAACAGTTTCTGAACTTTTAAATAGCAACAAAATTGTTAGACTTGTTTGGCAATGTATATTCATTTTTGGCCCTTCCCACCCAAATAGAAAGAAATACTCCAAGTTTGATATAAGCAAGGCTAAAGGGTGTAGCCCCCCAAAATTCAGCAGTTCTTCAACTTCTTCCCTTCAGCAGTTTCAGCTCAAGGTGAGCTGACAGGCTTCACCTGTCAAGACTTGATCTGGGCCCTCAGGGTTCTATTTAACTCCTGCACGAAATGATGGAATCACAGACACCTAAGCAGAGTGGAAGGTACATCTCTCTAAGCTTTAGTGGTTTCATCAGCAGTTGCAGGAGTAACAACAGCCCAAAGGCCTGAATTCATGTTTTGGAGAGTTACTCATGAACCAACAGATTTGGAACAATTTCATTTTATGTTTTTTTAGTCAGCAAATATATTTTTGTTAACAATTTAGACCTTTAAAAATTGTATTTAAAATAAATTAACTTAAAAGTAAATTCACTGAAAAGGTACTAGAACAGAGGCTTTATCTTCCAGTAACAGTTTTGCAGTGTTTCCTAAAGTAGATTCAGAAAGGAAGGGTGTGGTAGCCTCTTACTGTTACGCTACTGAAATAAACACTAAGTGAACATTACAAATAATTTGAACTCAAAACTAAGTTTATAGTTATACAGTTAAAGTTTTACGTTACAAAAAGAGTATAGTGTTTAGTAGAAAGAATATCAAACTGCTTTAATAAAAAAGCTGTTTTAGAGAAAATATACTGTACCTCCCCATCTTCCAGCTCAACATCTAGGAAATCAAAGTCCCTAAAGACTCTGAATTGTTGTTCACTGTTTGAATCATCCATGTTCTCCTGCTCCCTTGTTCCGTCTTCTGAAGACACCAAGCTCGTCTGGTGCTCAATCAGATCCAAATCACCACAGGAAGAAAAAATTACCTACAATTCAAAGGATTTCTCTTGTAACAAACTGTTCCCTCTGGTTGTTTCTTCCTAAAAGCTGTAATTGGTTATTCAGAAGACTGTATTTCCAGTACACACCTAATTCCTTCACTGAGTATTTTTAGAACACTCTTTATTATTTATGTTGGACAGGTGCCTTCAGATTAAACTTGTACAAAGAAACAACTTCATACTGCAGGAACACGTCCAAGAATATTACAGCTACCTCCTAATGGCTGCAGATTGATGTTGCCTGGATGTTTGTATACATTTATAGGAACAAAATTCAGAGAACTTAGCAAAGAAAATACTGTCAAGGGGATGAGATAGTAAGTTCATAAAAAAAATCCCTAGTTAAAAACGATGTTCAAAAATATGCCAAGATTAGAAAACACAACAAGCTATTATTTTTCCTTTCCTACTAAAAATAATTATATCTGCAATGTAGTTGCAAAAATTAAACGGTCCCTGTCTTGCAGAAATGAAGGACCTGTTCACCATAATACAAGTGACATACAACATATTCAAAAACATTCAGAAATTTTCCTTTCTCTGTAGAAAATATTTAATAACTATTTTAAGAGCTTCCTACCCTGGATGATCTATTGCCCATTTCCTGGCACTGGATAATATTAATTTTTAAAAAGTAACATCAGAACTACTATCTAATGGAAAAATCAGACACCCTCCCCCTGCCAGTTTTATTTCTGTAATTTAATTTTTTATTTTATAAAGGCTCTAGATTGGTAATACCAGAGGTCATTACTCTCTGCCCACTGAGATGGCATAAGTAAAACCTGTAGCATCACTGATCTCTCACAGCAAAAGCGTATGTAGCTCTGTAAGTAAATCGTCTTTAAGTGAGAGGGCCATTCACTCACTGGTTTATACGCTGAGAAATGCAGCGTGGGCCAGTACAAATGACAATGATAGTAATGTGACATGAAACTATGCAACTCTGGGAAACAAAGTTCTTCACTTTCAAAGTTTAGGACACAATGAAACAAAGAAATGGTCAATACAAGGCTACTTACTGAAGGGTTTTTACTCAGCCCAACTTCCTGACCACATAGAGAAAGGACATGCACCAGCTTTTCCTTTGTCCTTTTCTAGAAAACAAGACGTTTCTCAAGTGAGCATTTTTTTAACCACCCGTTCTCCTGGTGGCTAGAAACATACATTAACAACTTTTAATTAGGAGGAATCAACCAAAGAATTAGTCACTAAGTGCTCAAAGGGTTGCTTTCAGAGAAACTATGCATACAAGAAAACATAAAAATAGCTGTTAATGATTTTGGTGTTTATTATTTTTCAATTAGCCTATTAATTCTATTAAGCATAATAAGGAAACACTGGATCGTGCACATCACTTCAAAAGGACAGTTCAGAAGCTTAAAATTAAGCACATGCGTAATTATTTTTTGCAGAATTGGGCCTGAGTCACTGCTATATAACCTGCTGTATTTATAAAAAAAAGCAATGAATACATTTATTCTAAATGGTTTTATTTTAACTGGCAGATAACCAAAATCAGTAAGGTAATCAAACATCACTTTTAGGAAAATTGTTCCAAGGAATTCTTTTTACCTGATTTCCCATGAAAACAACACTTAGAAAGTTGCACATGTTGTGCATCTGCTCTCCTTGCTAATATCTAAACTCACCTGTCATTCTTAGCTAAATCTGACCTACAGTTAGAGGTCTTAAAGAGATGCATTTCCTACAGGTTGAAAGAAACCCACTGGCTGGAGAGAAGAGAGACATAACTCAGTCCATTTCTGAGTCCAAGATACACATTCAGCAGACACAGTCAGTCAGATGCTGTGCTGCCACTGCCCCAGCCGGCCAGGAGCATTGTGTAGGGGACAGAGGCCACAAGCATTGAAGAACTTAGTGTGTGTTAATTCAGCTGCTCTGAGTGCAATTTGTTCATGAATAGAGGGCTACTTCAAAGGAGTTTACCTGAGAGTACTGGGGTCTCTTCCAGCTCACAGGAACAAGGACATTGGAGTTAGATCCTGATGAGGTTGAAGAAGTGCTTCGGGTGACAGCCATTGCCCTGGGTTTACCATCTCGTCCAGAAGAACTTTGCAGCTCATCATACCGTCTCCCAATAATTGGAGTCTGAAATAGAGAGTAATTATTCACTAGTACTATGCTCCAGGGTGAACTTATAATGGGACATATTACTTCAGCTGCAGGAAAAGATTACTCTGAAGATCATATAGAGGGGTAAAACAAGGAGTGCACCAAATTTCATGTCACTTGGTATTGTATGTTACTTTCCACTGTGAACATCTCAGTAACTATTGCCATACCTAGTAGCTAGTGTTTATGCTCATGAATAGGTAATACTCAAAAGCAACTGTCAAACTAGTTTCTAACATAAGAAGCAGCAAAAAACCCAGAAAGCTTATGGAATTTATTTCAAATCCACATTTCTTGCACATATTTTTAAATGGGTTTTTCCTAAGAGTGCTGAGCACTCTGGCCTTGTTCCAACACAAAGCAAAATGCTTTCTTGGATTGATGATAAGATGCTCAGCATTTTCTAGAACTATACCTACATGAAACAACAAGAAGAAACTCTTTATAGAAATAGTACAAGATGCCTTTTTATATTCATACTTCCTTTTAACCCAAAGTCTCACTATTATCTATATGAAAAAGTCTATAATGCTGCAAAATCATGCAGGTTCATAATTAAAAATAAAGTGAGTTGCCCATTAAAGTCAACAGGACCATTCAGTTCTATAAAATTAAAAGGTGTACAGGGTTTGCAGGATAAAGACTGCTGTAAAAGAATTCAGTCAGAAGTCAGAAAGTACTCCCTTAAAGGACATACTTCTATGTTTAACAGTTACAGAGAACATTGGCATCCAAGTATAAAATGTTTGGATGGGGATTTCATACATATAGTATACTTATATATTACAGTTGACATAATTGTAACATAGCTTTTCCACCAGAAAATTATAAACACAATTAGTAATTCCTTCCCCCAAAAAATCTAATGAAAATCCAGAAAGAGCCCTCCAGTATGGGTCATTAAATATGTCACTGTGGATCGAGAAGAATTTAAGAGACTTTCAGTTTTGTAATTTTCCTTTCTTTCCCAGTTTTTCAGTTTGCTTAAAGAGCTACAACATGTGTTTTAGGATTACCAAATGACAGAAGTAAGGTTTTAAGTAGTACCTCTGAAATATCAAAATGAAACTCTAAAGTCTTTCCTGGTAGCTCCTTGGAGGCACTGTTCCACACTCGATGTATTTCCATTTTTGAAAGATCGCTGTGTTGATAGGATGGTAAAACTAAACTGGCAGAACGAGAAACTACCAACTTCAGGATATTCAAGGCTTCTCTCCAGTGAATGCTCTAGAAATAGGTATATTTAATCAGCAAATGGAAAGAAAGATTCACACACATTCAAGGTTATTTACATTTTACAGTCTTATTTTTTGCCACATACTAAAAATGTGGAATTGGAATATTACTATTCTTTCTCTCTCTTGGCCACTGACAAGGTACACACTTGCAGAATAATTCCAACAGCAGAGACCAAGACTTGCCTAAGGTGTCATTGTTAGGGAACTGGCCTGCAACCTGGGAGACCTGAGTGCAAGGCCAACTTGGCAAAGGATTTAAAATCTCCTACCTATGAATGCCCTGAATGCCTTAATCAGTATGAATAAATATAAGGGCCATTGCAGAATTCACATTTAACAGAAAAGTTGACTTGACACAGGCTCTTTACAGTTGTGAATTCCTAGTAGAAATATGTATTTTCCATTTGCCGAGAACTAGGTGCAGAAGTCTCTGAAGGGAAGTGCTTATGCCACATCTCCCTCATGCTAATAATTAAAAAGAGTAGTCAGTTAGGCTCTGCCTGGTATTAAGCTTGCTCCCGATGTAGTGTAGCTACAGCCTAACCCTTTCCACACAGTGAACCCACAGCTGGGCATCTAGGGATGTGCAGTCTATTAGGCATCAGGATGTTAATGAACTAGACACCACACTGGGCAGTCGCAGTCCTCCCTGCTAATCTAGTCTTAAATTCCTACAAAGAAAATCACCTTATGATAGCAAATACTGCCAAGTTCTTATGTTAATATAAAGAAGATACGGTATTTACCTGTACATATTTTTCAATGGTTTTTAGCACTTCCATGTTAAATTGTTTCACAGGAATAGCTGACAGGTCCATATAACTAAGAAGACTGTAGATCATCTGTAAGAGGGACAGTTGCATACTGGGAAGGCCCTTTTCTAGTAGCTGTTAAAAAAAAAAAGGGAAAATAACTAAATTTTGAGACATTTCTTTTTATGGAAAAAGCCACTAGTTTCATGAATACCATTTGTACTGTTAATCTCTCTTCACTCACTGATTTTGCAATGCCATTTTACAAGTGATGATGATACAAGTGCGAAATAAAAAAGAGTTTTAAGTTGGGAGCCAAATGCTAGCCTGTTTTGATAATGAAACATACATTTTATATATGCCTCCCCTAACTTACCCAGAAAACACATTCAGCAGTTGAGTAAACTGGCAGGTAAAATTTACACCGTTATTGGGGAAGCACATCCAACAAAAACAGGGGAGTATCTGTTTATTTCTACCTTTGCTGAAAGGCAGCGAGAAAAAAGAAAACATGCTGAAGAAACAAAACTACTACTATTCAGACATCAATATATATTTATCCAAATATACTTCATTGCCAGTGCTCACTGTCTGTAACTGCCAAGGAAACATTTTCTGTTAAGGAGGAGATGGAGTCCCTGGGCTCTTTTACTGTAGAGGCTAATACAAAAAAAGGCTTGATCTAAATCCTGGAATTTTGGAACACCTGAGTGTAGATCCCGGAATACCATAATGAACCTTGGAAATGCAACTGTGCTCGTATATATACATGACAGTAATTCAGGAGGCGTACAGACAGATATGCTATGTTTGCACATGTGTGTGGAATACCTCAGCTGAAAATTTCCTGGAAGGTAGCACGTTCTTTCATTGGTGACAGGTCCTGTCCCACCCCACAAATTTCAGAGGCAATCAAATGTTATTGCTGGAGGTTACTAGAGGCTCAAGACTAGACTCTATCCTTCCATTCAGGCTGACAAAAAACTTCTTCTAACACTCGTTACTAGAGATTAGGATCTAGAAAACACTTATTTATAAAAACTCTGTGCTGCCTCATGTCTTTCATCAAGAGAAAAATTTCAACTGTTATCCAAGTGAAGTCTAGTAATTTATTAGATGTCTTGCTGGTCTGAACGACAAGACTCCTCTTTTTATTGAATGAGAACTTCATGCCAGCCAAAATGGAACGATCAGTTAGGACATATCTATCTCATCTTGCTAAATATCTTCCGATATCTTTCACCAGTAAAAGTGAGCAGTAATCAGTGATTCATAAAACAAAGTGGGCAAATTCCATTAACAGCACAATAGATGGAACTCACTATGCTTTATTCTTCTACAAAAAGACAGCAAGAATTTTTAAATTAAAGGTACTACATGGTAACCAGCTTCAGCCCATGGATACCTTTACTGAGAGATAAAACTTCTTTATTAGCAATTCTTCTTCAAAACAGGGTTATAGACTTTTTCTTGCCTTCCATTAGGATCTTGCAATGGAAGGTTTGATTCCTTCCTTGTAAATAGTTTATATGATCCAGTGCATCAGCCGGTATACCATTTCAGTGTAGGAATAAAGGATTAGAAGAAACTATCTGGATAAGAGAAAGAATTTTTTTTTTATCTGAGAGAGGCTACTGCATCAGATAATCACTTTTGTGACAGGAAAAAGAATTCTTGGGAAATAACGGAAATTCTGTCTCTATTGCTGGTTAGAAAGCTGTTCTAGGAACTTTATCTCCGAAAGCTTCTAATTTCCATTCCAGTTTGTATAAATATGCTGTCAACAAATTGAATCCTTTGACTTAAACAGCTCTTGCCCCTTAAACTCTAAACATTTGTGGACTGTGCCAGTTTTCACTTGTTTAGATGAGTATATGTGGTGGTTGATAGTCCAAATGTGTACTTAAATACATCATGAATTTGTAACAAGAAAGAGTATTTCAATTTAAAAAAAGAACAGCAACTTTAAAATGCATTTAGTACAATAAGAATTCTTTTGCTGCCAGAAGTAACAAAAATAGCAGCAAGATAGAGTTGTGGTAACACATCATTTGGATCAGTGAGTTCCAGGACAAAGAGTTTCCACTGTATTTGTAAGCAGAAATCATAACTGTTCTCAGTCTTTTTTTTTTTTTTTTTGACTCTCGTCCATATGAACTGTTTTGAAGAACTGTGGATTCCTCTCTTGTTAGTGTGTGGTAACTATCCAGGTCTTATCTGGGCTTAGGGATCCACACTCTGTTAGCAACATTTGTCCCTTTCCTGAAGCAGCAACTAACCTAGAACTAAGTGGAGAGCAGAGCCTCCTCTTCCAAGGGCTGCCTTGCCTGGGCTGGCTGCTGCTGGTTGATGTGGCTGCTGGGGCGCTACTGCAGGAGACAGTTCCCTTTGCCCCTCCAAATCTGGCAGCAGGTGAGAAAAGATGCTCAGCTCTTAGACTATGTCAGTCAAGCAAGCAAACATTTTCTGTGTCCACTGAGGAAATGAAGGCATTTCACAAGCCATGTCTGCTAGGCAAGCCGTTAGTGGGATAATGCCTGATCTGGGATATGTTTCCCCTTGCAACACAGATGTTTTAATCTCTGGTGATTCCTGGGTTTTGAACAGGTTACGAATGCTCATGCTTCTATCACAAGCAATCCTCTATCTAACAGGGAGGAGGAGGAAACATCTACCATGAGCACATTACTATCCACTGTGTGGTTTCTTGTTCCTTCTGTATTAATAGCATTAGCTATTTAAGTCCAAGCATGACCCTGGACTTAATGAATCACTAGTTTAACATGTGACCCATCTCAATTCAGATATGCTCCAAGAATGATTGTGCTCTCACGGTACAAGGTTGATTTTTAAAAATTAATATGCAAAAATCTAACATAAAATCAAAGTAAACTTTCAGTAAAGTGTTTGTATGCTGATTTTCGTAGTGGAGGTTCAAAGTTCTACTGCACTATTAAATAGTGATTTTTCCTCATCTGTAGACTGAAATGCCCAAGTATTTTTCTAGAAGAAATGATGATTTTTCATGGATGGAGCTGTAATGTGTAAAACTGAGTAAGGAGCACTGCTTGTCACTGTAAGGTTTGCACAGTTGAAATGTCTTATTTTATGCCAGGATCATACCCCTAGCTGACAAGCAATTATCTGCCATCAAATAAGTTAAATGCAAATTTTTGTCTGAATGGCAGTAATTGAAGCTTTTACCTTCTGCTGAGAGCATTTGTTCTCATAGTCTTAGTAACTTGTGGTAGAAAGTCCCCTTCTGAAGGTATACCTGTGTGTTTGGAGGGGTCACTGCTGCAACACAGATTTCCTTTGTTATTCTTAAGCACTGCATGTCTCACAATTTCCCTCAGGCCCAAGCACTGGGGACTGAGCCAGGATTGTTAAAGTTCGAGGCTCTGTCACCAATGGCTATAACATTCAACTGCAGATTGCTCAGTGTGCTGTTAACCCATTTGGCTTTACCTATTGACAGTATATCCCACAGTCAGTTTATAGGAGACAGGAGCACATTGTTTATCCTGGTCTGGGGATTAACTAAGAAGAAAAGAGGAAACATATTCTGAATGCTGGAAAAATCTTTTTCATGGCCACAGCAGGCTGAACAAGATGGTTTCTTGTCTCTTGCTCCTCCTCCAGACTGGTAGTTACCCTATGCCCATACAAATATTCCCAGACATGACTCAACAGAGCTGCAGTCAATGTAAATAGAGAAAGGAAGTTGTCCTTACTACTCTGTCATCCTGTGATGATGGTGCTATGTGAGGAATGTGCCTTAATTATGGTCAAAAACCTGCCTGACTTGCTGTTAATATAGTAGCCTGATGCCAATCTATAGCAAGAGGGAAGTGCAAAGAAAGAGTCTCCAGATACACATCTAAGCCTGTTTTGAGAGGAGCGAGATCACGTGCAATGGCCTTTGTGGAGGTGCTGCAGCACTAGTAACTGTACGTAGAGCACTGAAGGGAAAACAGAGGGGCAAGCTCAAAGGGGAAAGCAAAGGAGAAAGAGTTTAAACCTCAATTTTTACAGCATTTGTTTATTATGAATACAAGTTTCTGCTGTGAAGGAGACACTTGACTCTGGAGAATTCAGAGTGGTCGTGTTTGAAGAGCTAATAGTTCTTCAGAGTCTTTGAGTTTGAAAACAGACTGAAAAACCTCAGGGTCCTGGTTTAGTCTCTTACAGGAGCAGGAGAGCCATGGCTTTCACCATCAGTCAAGACCTGATAGGATTGTTTACTTGTGCAAAGTGAGGAACTGCAGCTTAAGGCAGCAGGGCCAAGTTTGCTCTGAAGTCTGAGTGAGTGTGGGACCACAGCCTGGCCTCTTAGGTTCTTGAAAATCTGTGGATAGCCAGTATCAGAGATGCCTGTGGAGTTTCTGTAGATGCTTTGGCAGAGGGGAGAACAAATCTGCTCCAAAAAACAAAGCTGCTCTAAAGAAGCTAAGTGAATTTATGTCATAAATACAGAACTGCTTTCTCCCTGTATGAGGGGAGACTGAAAGCATCTCACTACAGCATAGAAGTGAGGGGATAAATCTGAAAACTCTACAAGAAAATAGTGCCCTGATACTGATCTGACACAGGAGGCAGATGATCAAGTGATCTTAAGCTAAAGAGCAGAACTGAGCCTTGGATCCCCAGTAACAACACTGCACGAGGTCTATACTCCACGCATGAGAAATGTTAAGAGTAAGTGAGTACAGGGGAAAACCTGGGCAGCAAGATGATCCCATTCAGTGTTAGAGAAATGCATACAAATTTGTATTGAGAACCAGATCCTTATATAGCAGATGATACCTTATTTATGCTGCTAAACCCCTTCTGGAATTAGTCCTTCTTTTATTTTCCTCAGTGGGATCTAAATAAATGTTGTCCAGTTACTCTCTCTTTCACAGTGGAGAAAATCTGACCAGCTGATAAGTGAAGCTGCCTTTAAGATGTATCAGCCCTGCAGACTTTTTCTGTCTTTTGTTTTAGTGTTCAGTATTAATTTCTTATAGTAATTCCCTTTCTTTCTGTTAATTTCTGCTTTCTACTCTTAATTCTAAGTAACAGCTACAGAGAGCCCCCAGGAATCTGCCAGCAGATTCAGCTCTTTGGTTTGTTAGGCAACAGAAGAGTTAAAACAGTAAAAGATCTTTGAAAACTTACCTCAGCCAAATACGTAACCATACTCAGAGTAGTATCAGCAAATGCTTCATGAAGATAACGGCAAACCACATTTACCCAGGTAGCACAGTCCCTTGTATAGCTGTGTGTTTTATAAAGGGTCATGACATGTGCAAGATTTGATAGCTTGGGGTTCTTCTCCTCCAAACAAACCTAATTAAATATAAATTACAAAGCACATTAAGAACAAGGCAACTGCATTTACAGGGTCTGAGAACTGACAAAACAATAAATAAATTTGATACCTGAGCAATCCTTTCGGCTATATCTTTACAAAACTGGTTTGGGCTGTCAAAATGCTGAATTAAATGGGGCAGAAGACACAAAACATTCAGTGGGAATCCTAGAACAGGAAAATACAGAATAAAATATGTATTTTGGACAGCAAAAGCCACAGTGATCTTCAAGTTGGTGTTTCATGGGAGGTCACAGTTTCAATATTACATTAGCTGTAAACTCACAGAGATTGTCAAGTTGTTCACGCCACTAGCCATGCCACATTTGTCTTAAAGGGGCCTTAATTTGAAAATCCAGTATATCATTTAGGCAACAGTACTGTTATAAAGCATGAACCTATTTCTGCAAACACTATCGCACAAACAGGTATTTACAGGATAAAACATCTCACAGAAGTGTATATTTTATTCCTATTAGAGAGTATGTTTATCTTTTCCACTTAACGGGCTTATTGACAGCCTTAACTGGTGGCATTTTCATTACTGCTCCTAAAACACAAGAACAAATTTAATGAGTACTGATAAATGAACAACTGTTTTGGTCAGGCTGCCAGGCACAGCTTCCATTGTTTTATACTGTTCAAGTTAATAATAATAATAATAATGAATCAAAATTCTGACAGAACTGGTCAGATGAGACTTCTCATGGTGGTTTTGAAGCTAGGAGATGGCTCCTGTGCCATATGCCAGCCGCTGTGTCATTAGCGTACGGGCTTTGTCTGGAGCTGGGATTCAGCTCTTCTGCACCAACTCATAGCTCAAGGTAACTGATGAACTACAGACAGCAACTGTAACTGGGAGCTGTAACAAAAGCTGCTCCAGTTCAGGTGGGAGCTCAGAAGTCAAAAAATTGTATCTGGACACAATCTGTTTTTTGAAAAGAAAGAATCTATCTATGAAAATATCTTGCTAACCATTCATTCCCCCTCGTTCTACACAATTAAACAAGTTGCCTAAGCTAGGAGCGTAATTTCGCTAGGCTTCCTTATACCCAGGGAAAAGAAAAAGATACCTCCAGATGGTACTGTCACAGCCCATGTGTGAATTGCCCAACCGAAGTCCGGAACACAGGCACCACACAGGTGCTTAAGAGATGGCATTCATCCCCTTACTCTGTGTCTAAGCTTGTTATGACCTAGTTGTGAAGCCTGCACAATTGTCTTAATATATGTGTTCTGACTGAGACAGAGGAGTAAATATCCAGAACAATACAGAAGGTCTCTTCAAGAAATATAATTAAGAAGTGGTCACAACATCCACTAAATAATCGGGAATTTCAAAATGTTACCTTATTTCCTGATAACCCAGGCCTCTTTCCTCACTCACTAATGTGCTATTCCAGTTTATCTAAAAAGTGTACAAGAGTTTTCAATATTTATATTTCTAGGAAAAATCCCATGAAGCGCTAATTTAAAATAAAATAATTTGTGATATTCTGAAAATAATTCTGTGGAAAAACCAGCCAAAATAGGTTCTAGAAAATTTCACAGTATCTCCTTACCTATGTTTATTTTGTCAGCAGTCAGAAACTTTATATGCTGCTAAGCATTAGAAATGAAATGTGAAATAATACATGACCGCTTTCCTCCAAAACTTTATTGTGCAATAGATTCACTTTTCAGAAACATGTCACATTACTATGCAGTTTCCAAAAAGCACACCCAACTCAAAGCAAAAGTACATTATGCCATATTAGAAGAGAAAGAAAAAATGCCATTTTTGGTTTTGTGCAGATAGCCTAATTCTGTCATCAAATGTCAAAGCAACGGAAACTGAAAGAGAGGAAGTATACTGGATTTACCTATAGCTTGAGAGGAATCCACCATGGATATTCGAGATACTGGTGTCAGCAAACTAAAAAGCTGTAGTGTGAGATCAGTGGTAGTAAGGGAAGTGAATCCTTTCAGGAGTAGCTGCTGAAGCCCTGAGAAGTCCGCCCACTTCAGCTGCCCTTGCAACTTCTCTAACTTCTCCCGGTTTTCAGCTTTATCTAGTGGCAAATGAGCCAGAAGTTTATTCAGTAACCGCAATGCCATTAGATACTCAAACTCAAAATCTGATTCCATCAAAGCCACAGCAACCCAGAAGATGGTGGCCAGTAGGTTGGTTGGATTGTTAATATGAGATGGGTCAGTAAGACTGTCCTTTAGAGAAGATGAGCTTCTGGTTTTAGAGGACAGGCCTTGTTGTGTGCACGCCTGAATTCTGTCTAGTGTGGCACTGCGTGGTGGGTCTGAGGACTTGTCCACATCTCCAAACTTTTTGGGTACAGAGAAGCTCCTCTGGTGCCTGCTTCGTTCAGCAGTGGCTGGGTTACCACTTGCAGGATTCACATTCAGCTGTCCTGTGCTCTTCCGGTTTGCAGTCAGCTTGGTGCTTGATGTTAAATCTGGCGAAGATGAACTGAACCCAAAATATATAACATACATTGCAATGTGTGAATGCACAGCTTGAAACTTGTACATATTGAATGCAAGTTAAATATTTATCAAACTGTAAATAAATATTTAAATAGGAAAAGTAGAACACCACATGGTCTATTGCAGCCTGTCTTTTTTTTCAGAAGTGCCCACAGTCATGACTGAAGTGAGGTTCACGTGGCACCGCACCAAACCAGAGCAGGATAGTCTACAGTCTAGATAGGTAAGAACAACATGGGGATAAGAGATACAGAGCTGTGAACTGACTTGTCGAAATGCCCATATAATGGGGCAGTGGTAGAACTGAAAACAACTTTGGTCTTTAAAATGCCCTCATCAGTGGAGCAAACCCCAAACTTCGCACAGCTGGCAGGCAAAATGCACAGTGGCTTACTGGCTAATGTGAGAACTGTGGGCAGAAAAAACAGCGTATCTTAAGCAGAATCACAGATACGTCACATTATCCTCAAGACACCTGTTATGTGGCTGCCTAGGTTCTTCCTACTACAGGTCCTTCAGAAACCTTGTTGTCATTGCACCCTCCCCTGCCTGTATCCTAAGATCTCTTCAAGATGGTTTACAGAAAGCGGAGGTGTTTCAATTTCAGTGACTGATGCCTCCTCGTAGACTATCATGTGATGATCCAGACAATCCCTATCAATTATCTGTACAGATGAACATGCTGTGTTGATACATGCAAGGGAAATTTGTTCTGGAGAACAGCTAATTCCTGACTCTCTGGTCCCATTCCTACCTCATATACTGAGTCCCTACTGTCTATAATATTTGAAGAGGATCTTATGGAATCAATAGTGTCAGGGTAAAGAATATTGCATCCCACTGCTTTCTGGACTGTTTCTTATTTTCTGCTCCATCTTGCTCTTTCCTGAAATGTGCACTAAAGAAGGATAAATAGCTCTTAGTTTAGAAAGTAGAAGCTGTATTTCCACACCTCTACTCTGTCACAAGGCAATATTTGTGTTCTCCCACTTTAGTATAATACATAGCACCCTATCTACTAGCTTCAGAAATGATAGCCCTTGTATTTTTGTTCTGCATGTAAAGCATGGTAACTTACGGACATTTTTCAAACAACATTCCCTATTCTCTTGTTGCTCTCAGGAGACAGGTAGACATTAATCTCCCTCAGTACTGTCAACAGCTGTGTTACGGAAGGAGCCTGCAATTTCCCTCCATGTACAAAGGTCTACTTTAAGGCCAAGAGTTTTCACAAAGATGGTCTACACATCTGGCAAAATCCATGGGTTATGTACACATGGGACAAAATTCTCCCTAGTTTTATTGAGGAGAACAAACCATGATCATTTACTTCTTGGGGAATACGTCATCTGAGAATGACAGGTTGTATGAAACCAATATTCCAAAAAACATGTTTCTTCCCAGATATGTTTTCAAGTATATGGTACAAAGGTGAAAAAACATACAATATTTTTAAAGGATGTTAAAGTAAGTTATAGCCAAGAGGCAGCAAGGCAGAATTTACAATGCATTGTAAAGTTCCATTAGTTCTACCAACATTATTTCAACTATTGCAAAATTTGGCTCAGATGTGCCCTTAGTCTAGTTCTCTGAAGGTTACAAATGAGCTCAATCCTATCAAAACAATTTTATGCTGTCAGACTGCAGAACTGAACACTTAATATCATGAGACACTGAAAAAAAAAGATATAGTTAGGAGAACAGGCTCTTACCGTGATAACACCGTCAAAAGATCACTGTTCTTCAAACAGTCAGACAGATTATCCACAGCAGCTTCCAAAGTAAGTAGTGCCTCCATTACATACCCCTATCAATGCACAAGGTTAACCATTTCAACAAAGACATTCAAAACAGTGAATGTTTAAAAATCTTCAGTTCAGAAAAGGAATAAGCACCTAATGAAAACCTGTAATTTCTCCTGAAAAAAGAACAACATTCACATCAATGTCACTGCCCTGAACAGTCACTACAAATGTCACTGCATTTGTCTTTTATTTTCTGCCTCTGGATGATCTATGAAGGCATGCAAGAAGCGTACATATCCCATCAAGGGATTGGGAATGGCATACTGTCATCTTGTGGCAGTTTCCTTACCCAAGTAAAATATGGAGGTGATGTCAGTCTAATTCTTATTAAGAGCTAGTAGTTATCTTTGTTAAGTCTTGAATCTCGCAATAAATAGTCTCTGTAAAATTTCAGGAGAGAACAACCTGTTTAGCTAAACCAAATGAACATCATAGTTCACTAAGAGAGGACTGGATCAAATTAGGTCAGTGTAAGTTTTGTATTGTTATGGATGGTGTGGATTTCTTTATTCCAAAATACGTTAACATTTGAGAAATGAGGTGGTGTCTACTTCACGTTGCTAGATAGGATGATGGTTTCCTTAAGCACAAATTAATGATGTGAAAAGGGAAAAAATGGTCATCACGAAGATTTCGAATTACATTTACTAGATGTTTTCTAGTTGTTCTCTTTAGAGCTATATAAGATAGTAACAGCCTGATGAAGACTTTGAAAAGGTACATATGGATTCAGTAAACTCAGAGGTAACCTTTTGTAAGGCTACATTCTGTTTTGCATCACTTGACTCCAGAACATTTTGTTAAAATGGTAATTTTAAATTAAGAATACATTAAATCAACAGTATTAAGAAGCATTATGTACACATGCATACCTGAATCTCATCTCCATGCTCTCCAATAACTTCCACCAATCTTGACAGGAGGTCAGACAATGCATGTGCAGAAAGGGGCTGCTTTAGGGCCCTGAATATCTGGAAAGAGCGACCTGCGTAATGTCTTGAAGAGCTTGAAAGAGCTGTTTGTAAAGCAACTTCACTCAGATGCTGCTCCAAATGAAAACCTAAGCAAAAGAATAGTATATAAATTTTTTTTTTAATGACAGACTTTACTGTGGGTCATAAACAGGCTGAACCAACTCTGTGGGGAGGATATGCACTCTAGTGTATCCTGCAAACCCTGTGAGAAATGGAGATGCAGAAATGTCTGGGTTTGGGAGAATTTCCCACTGTTTACATGTATTTCACACAGAATGTAAGAAAATAAACTGCAAAACCAAAATTCCAATTGTTTGTCAGCAAAAACCTGAAATTCTTCATCTGATTTAAATTTTTTTACAGTTCCTCAGCAAACTTTCAAACCACCCACTATACTTGCTGGCTGCAACACAATAACTTCTGAACACTCCCAAACCTAAAGCCAAGCTGAATTAGGAGTCTTTCTGTTAGCTTCAGAAGGCTTTGGGTAAGATCTTAAATATAAATACTGATGCTGCATTCTGCTTTGATCTTGGAAGATATTTAATTACTGACTGTGTGGTTTTCAAAATACGATCAGTACATTTCCTAAGCTCTAAAAACATAATAAATTAGAAGTAAACTTTAATTGCCAGAAGAAATTTAACAAAGTACATTTACTTAGTAACTGTGATGTATTTTACCAATAGGACATAGAGGAGCTTTTATCTGGTAGCTTTTATCAATCACAAGGCTTTCTACCAACAGCTTTGAAGAAATGTTCGATTTAACATTCAACCTCAGTCCAATCTAACATGATTTTTTAAAAACAATTCTTTCATATCTTATACATCCTTGTTAAGACATACAATATGTCGTCCTTCTGCATAAGCAGATCTACTAAGTCACAGGATAAATATTCAGTGTGACCTTGAGGGAATATTCTTTTAATTATGAAAGGAAAAAAATTTACTACCTGACTTGGAATCTTTAAATACAGATACCACATGACGCAGAAAATTAGTAAGCTGTTCAGCACTCTTGGTGTTCTGATTTTTGGGTGTGATATCTTCATGGCACCAAAGTGGACCAAATGCCCTTAAAGAAATACATAACAAAGTGCAAAATTTCTTTGAGTTATCTGAAGTAAATGTAATCAGTTAAAATATATAAACTGTAAAGGCAATGAGATATTTCCAGGGTCATAGCCTGGAAAACATGCAACTGAACAGAATTTTATGAGCAAAATACAAGTAAATAAATATTCCTACGCTGTATTTTACAAAACCTCTCTTTTAATATATGTTACACCATTTAGAGAGCAGCATAAACAAATTCCTGTTTTTTAATTTAACATTGGGCCTAGGATCTGCTGGCTGTAGTCGGTAGTTAGTATTAGTTTCACCATGGCCTTTCACTATGCCCTGCACACTTCCTATCTAATTGTACAATAATAGAACTGTTTTCTTCCATTAGTTCATTGTTGAACATAATACTATCAGTCAATTAAACTTTTTATTCCTGTCAGGCAAGATTTTTTTCTATTGTTCCTGACACTATAGTGCTTTTAAGTACCTACCTACTTCTATAAGTATCAATAAAAGAGGAATGGGAATCTGTAATTACTGTAAAAGCTCGGTCATTTTCCTTTGAGTCTTTTAAGTTGCTACAGATAATTGTAGAGAAGACATGAAAGTATGTGTTTCAAGTATCCTCTGCTTATCTCCATTACCTGGTTGTCAGAAACTCAATTAATTTGTTTGCTTTCTCATCTGTTTCAGCAGCAGTGTCCATGTCCTCAACCTCTTGTGTAATCTGTGGGAGATTTCCACTGCTGCCTCCCAGACTGATACTGGAGGAGGTGGAGCTGGAGCTCAAGCCGGAGTCTGGCACCGGAGACGACTGGTATTCCCGCAGAAAGTCAAAGCCACCTGCCAGCAGAAAGGGAGGAGATAAAGACGGAATGCACTGTTGGGCCAGCATTACAGATGAAAGTGTCTGCTAAGCAGCTCCTTTCAGAGTCAGCAACAGAAACTTTCTAGTGGGAAACACGGGGAAAACCTGCAGAACACAACAACTCTCAAACGCCAATTAAGGGAGTGAAAACGGTACTCTGTGTCTAAATGTGCAGAATCCAATATAAAATGAAAAATACCAAAGCAAAGATTTTTTTTTTACTGCACGAGGGCTACAGTACTTGAAAAATAAATGTTTCATGGCATTTTACAATCAGAACAATGTCTTTCTGTAAAGTGAATTTTGAAGTTGGCTAAGTGCATGCAAAGTTCAGCTCACTTTTCTGGGCTAGTCTGATGACGAAAAAAACCTTTGCAGGGTGGAATTTTTAGGACAATTATGTTGTCCTAATTTTACAAATGGAATGGAAACGGAGACACAAATGTTTAAGGCTTCTGTTCAACACCTTTAGTAACTGTAAACACTGGACTACTCATACTAAATATTTTCAGCATTAACGTTAAGCATCTGAGTAAGAGTTCTGCTAGATCAAAAGCTTGCCACACAACTTCAGAGCTGGAATTAGAAACTAAAAGACCTGTTTTCTTAAGGTTAGACTGCTAGTCATCTTAGGCTGTACCTACAACAGAAAAATTGGCCTTGAGAGAAGACTGGGAGCAGGAGTGGCCTCTCTACTGACAAAATCCATTGCAGGTCAAGAGACTCTTGATTTAGTTGCCTGACATTATGTGGAATGAACCTTAGCAGAAGTATTTTCCATTAGGATTCTTTGCTTTGCTATAGCTATTCACCCACACTCCCACTCTTTATAAAAAGAGTGATAAAAGAACAATCCAAATACAAAGTTTTGATAACTTCTTGGACTTAAGAGGTTCAGACATAGGGTACCAATTATGTTTTTCAGAGACAGGAATGAAAACAGTTTTTCATTTTGGCAGAAAAGCAGTAATATAATTTTAATGTAAGAATTTTATTCTGTATTTAATAATTCATGGACATGCATTGAAAAAGAGATCTACACAACTCAAGATGGAAAATTGACATGTGAGGTAATTTTGCACGGAGTTTATTCAGAATGAAACCTAGAAAGGCCAAATTAATTCATGGATCTGAAATACATATCCCTTCTTCTCATTACTTTAAAATATTTTTTGTATCTCATAAAAAATAATAATCAGTTATCAAGTAATATTCTTTATAAAGCCAAACTATTTATTACTTGTGGTTATATTTCTAAGGAACCACAGAAACGCCACTGATTTAATTATCTCTCCTTTTCACTTCTCACTGTATGGTAAAGTTCCTCATCCTCTCCCAGACAACTAATCCTACCTCCATAAGTCTACACGGGTTCTGTGATTCCTTCAAATCTCAACAGTATGCTTGCTTTTAGTAATATTACATGACAATAGTAAATCTAGCTAGCTGCTTTCTACAAACTGTTCCCAGCCAACCCCTTAAAAACAGGTAAATTGCTAAAAGTTAACAGAACACCCATCTCAGCAGAGGTCTGAAGTAAGCCTCCTAATGCAGAAACAGATTTCAGAACAGAAACGAAGTATATGATCTGTGATATAAAGGAGGGTGTATACCATGTGAAATTTAACTTAATAATGGAAAATCTGAGCTGCATATTCTTGCTGCTGTTCCTGTGTTGGAATTATTTATTCATTTCTTTTGAAGGTTGAGGAGTGATTGCCCTCATTTAAAGCAGTCCTGGCTCCCTGAGGGGGAAGTTAGGAAGTTATTAGTTATATTAATGTTTAAAATTCTACATTATATATTTTGCCTTACATCAGATATCTTTCTCACTATCATGAAAAGTTATCTAAAAATAATTTGGGTGCATCTCTACGGTAGTTCACATGGAATTAATATTAATGGAAAGTGTTCATATTTGCACTTTACCACTTTAATTTATTAAAATTGTTGTATTTTAGGAAAGTAACCTTGACATTCTACTTTCAAAAACCTCACAGTATAATGCAATGTTCTCTTCTTCTTTTGCTTTATTACCTGTATAAAGATGTTCAGGTAAGTATGCTGGTTGTACTGTCAGAGTCTTGGTCTCATTCATCTCTCTGGTCTGAAGAAGCACTGATGCAATGGCTTGATAGTTGCTATTGCAAGATAATGCAATCAAAAGGTGAAGCAGTAACTTTTTACTGTGTTCAAAGACCTCAGGGCGGTAATGGTCAAGACCTAAAAGAAAAGGTTACAGCAATCACTGAATATGAAGTAATAATAAACAAGTTCACATTCCAGAAATAGCAAAAATTCCAAGGCAGTTCATGGCAACAGTGCAAACGAACAAAAGATGCAGTATTTCTGGACACAGTTACTAATGTTTTTACTTGAAATGTATGTGTATATTTAGTTTCCAGACTGAGGTCCCATACAGGAGGTACAAAACAATGTGTGGCAATACAACTTCATGCATTCTGTCTCACTGCAGTGTTAATTTGACATGGCTGGAAAACCTCTAAAGGTAAGAAATTCTTGGTAGTGGTTGTAATTACATTGCTTAACTCAGTATCTGGCTTTCTTGCATAGACATCAGTTTTACAATGAGTGCAAATTGTAAGAGGTAGACACTGATTTATTAAGAAAGGAACTGACAGTCAAAATCCCTTGAAAAAGAACTTCAGCTACCAGTGAGTAGCATGAGAAATTAGCAACTAGCTCAGGGTGCTGAACTGAAACTGAAGGTCTAGCACTGAAAGACTCTGATGTGGTTAGCACTACTACTGTTTGTATGATTTTAACACAACTTGAATAAATCACAAATTACAAATATAAAGGAGGCAAATGTTTGTAAAATAAACTGCACTCTGTGGTAGTAATCTCTTTTCAATTCTCTTTCAGTATCTTCCAGGATATTTACAAATACTTTCTTCTGTTTAGAGGCAGTTTCAGTGATGAAAAATTGAATTGTTTTCTTCTTCAGCTCCTCTCTTCTCAGGGTATATTCCTCTCTAAAAAGCAGCTCCTTCATTACTCTAAGTGGCTGTAGGTCTTTCTAGTCAGGTGTTTTCTAATATACTCCAGTCACGCTGGTTCTTGTCTGGCCTGCAAAAATACTGCCATAGTCTGAACAACATGTCTTTGGCTCCCATGGGCGGGTCTTTGGATCTCCTGTGATCCTTGCTCTTACTCACCTGCCCATAGCCTCCTCCAAAAGAACCATGGCCAACCTGCCCACCTCCTTTTCAGCTTCTTCAGGTTTCCGCTCCTATTCTACTTTGTCCATTTCCTTCCACCTGCCAGGACATAATGAACCCATCCTACCCTGTTCTAACATACACTGCAAAGGATATAAAAAGTTATTTTAGTTGAAAATAAATTCTGTATTAGCAGTTTGTGACTGAAATCCTAGGGCTGTATGAAAATATTGACATAGATATGCTAACTACAAAGTGAGAAGGACAACTACAAAGTGAGAATGGTCCAGTGCTGGGCCATTCTTTTAACTTGGAAGAGTTCCCAAGAGGGTAAACTTCTGTGACATGGACACATTTCCATGGGAAAGGAGTCTAGCCGCTCAACTCATTTCACACTGATTGCAAAAGAGTTTTTAAACAGCAGTTTCATGCGCTACTGAGATAGGCAGGTTCACACAAGCAGTCTGGCTCTCTGCTTCACTATCAGTACTACAAACCATCCAATAGCCTATTAAATACATACATTGCAAAATTCTTTCATTTTAGTATTTTCTCACTCCTTCCGATAAATGGAAGGATACAGGCTCTCCAGCCAGCCACCATACCAGTTTCAAGTTTCCTTTTCGGTCAGATGCACCTGCCTGCTCACATTCCAACAGGACAGAAATACTTCATTTTCAATCACATTCATACCTTCGGCTAACGTGTAGCGTAACTTCCTCACACCATCACAACAGACTTCTACCACAAAATATAGAAACATTCTCCACAGGAGGTATAGCAACTCTAGAGAAACTGAACTTGAAGCCTGGAAGCTGTGATCTCATCACCACCAAACCAGATACATTTAGTTACCAGCTACATTTAGCTTTAATTTCACATTTGAGAATTGAGAGTTCTTAGCCAAGGGACGGTCTCAAACGGTATTCATAAATTTCCATTTATTTCTTATGAAATACTGTAATGTTGAAACATTATTGCATGAACAAATCAGTAAAGATATTTTTATAATGGATTACTAATATCATAACTCTGTTTCTGCATATGTTTATTTGCATGGCTCCCTGATGGCTCCTAAAGCTGTCTTAACTGAAGCGGCCACCCTGCTGCATACTACTCCTAAGTTACTCATTTATTCTTGCGAGAATTTCTAACTGTAAGCACCAGTTTTCTCACACTTGTTACAAATCATACTAAAGACGTTGTTTGATCAGTTGACGGTTATTGATTTGATTCACACACTTATCCAGTTCTCTTTCAGGTCCCTCTTACACTTAGAAAGTTCACAACAATATAAACAAGAAGTCAAAAATTGTTATGGGCAGCCACAAAATATATTTAAGTGAAGCATATAAGTGAAATGTTGTCTTGAAACTGATCCCGGAAGCTCCATCCAACACAGTCCTGGCTGTTATTCTTGTGTTTCATTACAAGTTTGTTGAAATCAATGTACTGATATACAAAACTTGAGTACTTGATGAGTGTGCATTTTCCTAAAAACCCATTTCACCAAAAAATTTCAAACAGACTAGTTGGTAACAGAGTAGCAGAAAAGGAGAATGAGGTATTTTCTTCAACTATATATTGAAGTATACCACATATATTCTACCACTGTGTTGTAATGTCCCAATTTAATCTTTTTTGTCTGCTTTTTTGTTTGCCAGTGAAGAGACTTAGTGGTAACTTCGGTGACTGAATGAGAAGTGGGCTGCAATCTCCAGTTATAATAAATTTATTTCACAAGTGTCTGGCTGTGTTTATTTGTGAAAACTAGTATTTATCAACCATGCAAGTTAGGGAATGGCTTTATAATGCTAAATATTCTTGTGTGCTAAAAAATTAGGCCACTCACTTTTCATAATGTTAAGTGGTAGGATAAGGAAGCTATCACCCTCCAGTTGAACTGTGTTACAGTGAAGAAGAGACAGCAGTGGGCAAAAAGCAGTGCCTCTATGCTCAGCTATATAAGGGAAGACACTGAAGATAAAGCATTCCATTAGCAGTGAAGTTAATGAAACTTGCTTTCCAGTGATCTACCTTCGCTATCTCTGCAGTACAATCTTGGCTCTCTTACACAATATTTTTGCAAAGGCAAGAGACAGCACTGGTGTGTGTAGTCCAGGTCTAAGGCACGTGTTGAGTGCCCAGCTGCCCGTCACAAACCAGACTGTACAAAGGCTGAATTTCGGCTGCCTTTCTCGCAGGGGGGTGCTACAGGTTTTTTAGAGATATTTTAGGAAGTCATTCATCGTCAAATTTCTACCCACCTCTCAAATTTGGGTGAAATTGGCCAAAATATTAAAAAGCTTCGAAGTTTTGATACTAATTCACAGACTCTAATTGCCTCAGGCTGTTGTTTTTTTTTTTTAGGAAATCATAATTAAAAACATGTAAGAAACACAACTCTACAGCTTCAGCAAAACTAAACTAAAAGGACAGGAGTACATTTATGCTTTATTTCTTGTTCTGTTGGTCCTACCTAAAAAGAGAGCATGTAGCAATAAAGGGAGGTGAAGAGCCCAATCTTCTCTCACACTGTGATCCACTACCATCTCAGTCATGAAGATGACAGCAATATTGCACCTGGAAATTAAATCACAGTATCAGTTTGAAACCTCTTGCAGATGGGAAAACAGTAACATGATGGCTATTTCTGAAGAAATAAACAATCTCTACATTTTCAAATTTGTAGCACTTCTTCTCAATATGATTAATGCTGACGCACCTTAGTTACAGTATTAAGCAGGTATGTACCCATTACTGAAAAGAACACTATTACTGTAAATACACATTATGTAAAAGAGGAATTTCAGAATATGCATAGCCTAGTTAGAATAAAAGATCAAGGGCTAAAACGTGCTATGAATAACAGTCACAGAGGCTTAGGAAAGAGAAATTTTCCTTTTCTGTTTTAGTTGTTTTTTCAGTCTGATTCTTATCAGAAGTAGTGTCGTACATTGTAAATAGGCTTTCTGGTAGAAATCTGGTAGAATTGCAAGCCTTCGTTGCATGTTGATTTTAGTACTGGAAATCAGGAGAAACTGAAGGTATGATTTTCAGATGTTCTCAGTGGTGGGACAGTTGGATTGGTGTTGGTCAGCCAGTAAGAGGAAGAATCTCACTGTTTGAAATGTCAGAACGAGAAACTGCTCACCTATGAAGGGGTCCCCGGGGTGTGATGGTTTCTGGGAGGTAGTCCACAAGTGGTGCCCAACATCCTCCATTGTAAGGCATGGGCAGGGGATGTGGTTGTTTGGTTTCAACAATATTCAGTAACCAGCTTGTATATGGAGAAACAGGATCATCTGCGCGGAAAAGCATTAAAACAGAGTGCATAAAAACCAAGTCTGGTTACCCATTTTGGAGAAATAATAAAATAGAGTTTATGCTAACTTATCAGCTCAGCTGTTTGGAATAACGTGATAGGATGACATGAGGTTTGCAAATTCCTGTGTTCAATATCAAGTGATGCATTTTTAATCCTCTTTCACGCTGCTGGAAATTAAACAGATTCCAGGCAGACAGCGCTGCATGGTAGGAGCTGCAGCTGAATCCCTGCTGTCGCTTAGTAGCTTTGGATGCAGATCACAAAGCACCAAGCAACAGGCTTTCTCTTAAAAAATGAGAGAAAAGTTCAGCCAACGAAGCTGCTGTCGGAAGCCATCTGCTGCAAGGAGCTGTGTACCAGTGACACATTCTTGCAACTCTTCACCAGTGCCCTGCTGAGCGATGCTACAAAGGCAGAAGTTAAATGTCCTGAATTAGGAAGGAGGCAAAGGAATGCAAAAAACATCTTCAGGGTAATTTTCTTTCAACAGGGGTGAATTATCTCTTGAATTTCTCAAAGATGTATTTAACTTTGCTTCAGTATGACAGCTGCTGTATGTTAATGAGCAATAGGTTTTTTTCTTCCACCCGTTTATCTGCAATGATGTGGGTCAAGTAAGTTATTTCCACCACTTTGTGTCTTCTCTCAGCTGCACAGTTTTGTTCATCTCTCCTGTATTTTGTTCCCTCTCATTCTTCTTCATTTTCCCATTGGCCAGCTTTTATTTCCCAGGTCTGGCAGTCTGTGATACACTGCCATGGAAAGTATCCTTTCCAGGCATGTTCTTGACATATATCCAAACATTGCCCTTTGTGAATTTTTAATGAGAGCATTATTTTTTGCTCTGTTTTTTTGTTACTCTTTTGCATTTTAGGTAGGTTTGAAACTCTCAGCAATTTCCTTTTTTTAACAGCATGTATCTGATGCTTGTCGGCTTTGCCACAGGAAACAAAACCTTTTTGATGCCTACAAAAGTATCAGAGCTAGCTTTTTCTAATGCACATCACTTCTTGGTTTTGACAAAATGTCTTCAGGTTTCCAGGTCTTCAGGAGCCCTTCAATGTAGCAGCTCCTCCTCCAATTATTACTAAAATGCCAACTTTATCATTCCCATTTTTCAGTGTTAGTCTTCCAAGGAGCACTTTAGATCTTTATGATTTAGGCCTCTACTTATTTCTCTAATGCTCTGGATTTATTAGTTACAGATAAAGAAGAATAAACTGACCTAATACTGTAGCAAAGTATAGCATTTTCACATATTCATCTTCTAAGGATTAACCAGATAATGTTTGCCAGATGATTTTCACATAAAAAGCACTGCACAGTCACTATTTATTACTACCAATTTAAGTGTTTCACATAAAACTGCTTCATGAAGAAGTCCACACTAAGACGTAGCTCCTCACACATGTTTTCACAGGTTTATGTGCAGACTGAGAAAAAAAAGAAGCACTTTGCACCTTAACATACAATCTTTGCCTGAACAAAAGAGCTTCTGCGCTGCAGAGTTGTGTTCCCTGTTTATATCCTCAGCAATACATGTATGCTCAAGTAGACTGGAGAGAAAAGAGAAGCCATACCACCAACTCCTTCGCAGCCTGGGCTGCCTGCCAGAGGGAATAAGTTGCACTTTCTTAATGGAGGTTGCATTATTTATCTTGTAGAATGACAAATGGTGCAAGAATTACTTTCTTTTTAGAGTTCTATACAAATGTCAGTAGCTAAGTGAATTGTATTTTATTTTACATCTAGGTACTCGTACATTTGGGGAAGAACCCCTGTGAAAAGCAAACCTTGCATAAATATTCACAGTACTATCAAGCTTGCAGGTACAGGTAGGAAAAAACATTTGGGCACCGGCTTGAGAAGACATTCCAAAAGAGCAAAGAAAATTTCAGTATTTTTTAACCTTTTATTACTCTAAGCTCTTGTAAAAACCAGCTACTTGTGAAGAATGTTCTGATAATATAAACACTGTTTTGTTTTGAAAGATTGTTCATGCAGGTCAGATTAGTGCTGGTGCTCCAATTAACATCTGCTGAAGAATTTTTAGTAGCTGCAGCACTAGAAAGCCATACGAAAAACAAGACAAGTGTACTAAAAACCACTGAGTTTAATATGTTGCACACTTTTTTGTGTATTTAAATACTGCAGTATGTACATACACAATATTTTGTAAATATTATGCTTCATAATTATGAAAAATAGTTGTTGATATACATTAAATTATCCTATCATATTGTATTTGACAATGTTTCCATATTTTGCAGAACAGTATTGCCAAAAAATTATTTGGATTAAAGAATATATAAAACCTTTACTTTTTATGTCAAAATACTGTCGCAAAATGGTGTCCATAGCACCAAGACAAGACATTATGGCCTCTATATTATTTGATCTGGCTTTATTAAGCCAGAGATGAAAGTCAGTAAAAAGGTCTTGCCTTTTTTACATTTGGTTAGGGCCTAACAAATCTGTAGATTGGCTTCCTTACAATTCACTCCAGAAATAAAGTCAAACCATCCAACTCCTAAAATTTACATTGTCATTCAACAGTTGACAGAAATATTTTGGTTTTCTTTGGAATCTCTGCTGAGCATCAAGTGTCCATTTATAGTCTGTTTAGCAGAAATACATAAAGAACAAGTGTGCTCAGGACCCCTATCTCACTCTCCCCTCTAACACAGGTTTGCACAGTGCAGCCAGAAACCGGTTGCAGACAGCAGAGAAAAGCTAAAAAGGAGATAAGACCTCATTTTTGGAAACTCCTGAATCTCTTCTTCATGCTCATGTAACAGCACTTGATTTGGAGGGAAATACTGGTGAAGGGCACCGTTAAAAGTACTCGCTGTAACGCTCTTGTAAGTCTTTTGCCTTGTTACGTACGAAAGATTCAAAGTTAAACCACGACATACTGTCCGAAGGATTCTCTGCTACTGCCTTCTGTAAAGTTCTCTGGCCTTTAAATAGGTTTGACTGAGCCCAGGTTAAACAAAGGAAATTAATTAAATGAGGTATGAAGGTAAAATAAGGACACTCCCTTTATGGTGGTGCTACATTACTGTTCATACAGAACTTAAACAGAGAGCCTCCACCAGACATAAGAACATTTTCCTTTCCCACCAAAACACCAGAAATTTCATCAAATTGAGTAACAGAACTTACTTTTGTCATCATCATAAGATCCTCCGGAGCTATTACTGTACCTTGATTCTAGTCGGGTATGTGCTCTGATTACATTACTGAACCTTCAAATACAAGAAAACTCTTAATTAAAAACACAGACTGACATTAAACATCTGGACTATATGCTTACTCTACAAAAAACCCCATCTCCTTAAGCATGCACTTTTATACAGGAGTAGACAGCAAAGTGAATGTAATGCTGTTTCTTTCCGCAAAAGAAGATTTTTGCAGCCAGTTTCTGAAAAGTTCTAACAGTGTGCTCCTGCGTCACAAGCTTTTAAAATTTAGCAGAGGGAAAATTCTCATGCTGCAAACGTGTGATTTTCTTGAAGCAAGAAACTGCGCTAAGACTGAACTGAGATACAAACTGTTCACAGCTAGTATTTTGTCACAGCCCATGTTCATGGGTAAAATTCTGGCAACTTGCTAAAGCAGTAACTGACTGAATAGTCCAAAGTCAAGCCCGCACAGGTATTAAGCAGCAAAAGCTGCAGCAGATCACCTTTCAATAGGAAAATCCAGCAACTGCCAGAGCAGACCTAGCAGAGGAGTTAAGGGATATGAGAGCCAGAACAAACAGTTCACAGCTGTCCTCAAACCTGCCACAGATCCATGATAAGCCTAACTTTTACTGGTGATCTCCTTTGGCTTCCTCCACTTCCTTGTGCTGTCAGTGTAATCAGGTCTGAAGTGGAGTGAGAGGAGCCATACTGGAGGCTCACACACTAGCGATGATGTAAAAACATTATCGTTTCTGCAAAGCTAGGAAATTAATTACAAATAACCATGTTAAAACAACTATATCAAACAAAACAAGATTGAAGGTTCTCTGTGCAACATTCAGTTCAATTTCTTACTAATGTGCATACATATTATTGCACGGTATTTAATTATACATGGACATATTATGCTGTTTCCAAGGCACGTCTGTCTCATAAGGGCACAATAAATTCATTGTGGAGCTGACAAAAAGGCATCATAAGCCATCTTAATTCTGCCGTTTTCTGTCTTTCCAGTATCTGATTCTCCTATATTTTAAGAAATTCCCTTAATAAACGTCTACAAACTGACAATTACTGGCACATTTATCAGGCATAAAAAACAATAAAAGAAGAATAAAGTTAAGGAAAAAATTATGAAGAAATATGCAGAGATGAATTCTATACTGTATGAAACAAATGGAGAATACAGGTCATAGAAATTACTTGAGAGCAGGGCATTTTACATCATATTGCATCAACATAAAAACATAGATATCTTCTGATTAGCTTTGTATTATTAAAAACAAAGCCCACATTTATGACAATAGTTTGCTTACAATCTATTACCTTCTGTAAACATTATTTAATATGTCTTGACACATGAAGTCAGTATTAACAGACATTCTAAGATTGAAACATTGGTTTTGAAGTGCAGATGCACTTACAGCTTCTAGTATCTTTGATAACGTAAATGCCAGCCATGAATCCAGGCAAATTATTTTCCATTTTTTTCTGAGGAGTCTTTCAGTAAATATCAGAACTTTGTAAACTTCCTTTCATTTTTATCATACAGTCTCTGGCAGATTTGAATGCCAAAACTTTTCTGGAGTACATTAAAATTTATGTAAGAGAAGAAACCCTGAAAACACAGTTAGATTTAAAGTATAGTAGGAGATGACGTTTGCTCAACTCATCTGCAAATCAGCTAAACAAAAATCTAACTTAAAACTATATAGCCAAAAACATTTATGTAAAGAATAATAAAAAAAAAATCCAGAGGAAAAATGGTTTTATCTTCCTTTGAAGTACATTTCTAGTGCATATGCTGAAAACCATCATTTTGAGTCAAATCCTCTTTGCTATCAGTTTGAAACCTTACTTAGTACTAAGATAAGTGCCATTTTTTACTTACATTTAAATTAGCAGGCAGACATAACTAACCTGACAAAATGCTACTGGTGTTCATAACATGCAGAAGGCAAGCAATTCAAAAGGTTCTGAAGTACAGAAAAGTTTGTTTACATAATTGTCTCTGTACCTCTAAGCCCTGAACCTGTGGAAGGTGGGTTGGACTACTGAAGTGATACTGGTGACTATCAGGAACAACAGACTAATGTAATACTAATACACTTACTAATTAATGCTATTAGAAATCATTCAAAGTTCTCTTACAAAAATACGAGGGTTTCAGTGAGAGAAGAAATATATATCTGTCTATGCTCGAGGGTCTGATGGCCCTTAAGCTTTGCATTTTTTCATTCATCATTTGTCAGTATGTACCATAAGCAGCAAAAGACTAAATTGAATATATGATTTCTAAGCAAAATATTTTACATAGCTTTCCTCTGTAAGACATTTTATCCAGACAAAGGAGGTGTCCTTGCAATCATGGATACAAATCTGCATACTAAATTTTACTCGCTGTCCAGGAAATCAAGAGGTGTGATCAAACCTGATTTTTCATAAAGATTTTAGTAGTCATTATTTGGTACACACTCTTGATTTTCTTTCTCCTTTGTGGATAATTCCTACAAAACCATGATCTACTTAGCACAATTCATTCAATGTAGGTTTAACAGATGTTCCTCTGCAATGTATTATTAAACAACAGTCAGGAACTAGAATCATGTGAATAGCTTTTTTTTTAAAACTTTTTTTACACACGCTCATTTTAAAATGGTCTTACTGGGATAACATCACTTAGGATCAGCCTGAGTATCAGAGTTCCTCACAAAACAATGCCTCACCCTTAGCCTAGGAAAACACATACATTTTGAAGAAAAAAAAAAACGAAACCACAAACCTTTCATCAGTCTCTTTCACCATTCTGTTCTCCTCTACATCAGGAAAACTATCTTGGCCAGCTACAACAGTGTTACTGCTAGAGGTCGTTCCTGTATATGAGATGTCAATAAGAACACCTGTTACATGCAGCAGACAGTATTTGCAAAGCAATAAAAGCCTGTAACTTAAATTTTTTTCCCAGCCACAGTCAAAGTGATCATCCTGCAAGTACTTGCGCATACAAATGAACACTGTTACCTCTACAAACCAGGACCTGCTTGCATGGCTGAATGGTGTAAAGTTTACATGCTTTGAGGGGTAGATTAATGATGCTCTTCCACTCCTTAAACTAAGCTTATGCTCAGGTGACATAACCTATTGTTTTTCAAGAATTTGGCAAAACATTGACAAGGTTAAATTTGGGGTTGGTGTCTCTTAAGTATCTTTGACTACTGCAGCTTGGAAATAGCACTAGGCCTTTGAAAACAGAATTGCCACACAGTTAAAGCTCTCAGTTTTCAGGAAAGTCTGCTGCTTTGATCTATCTGCTGTGATCACAGCATTGGTGATGACTTCTTGTTCTGAGAAACTAGCGGTAGAAGAACCACCTCATATGAATTCTGAACAGCACCAAGCATTGGTAATATTCTATTGAAATAGTTGAGAGAATTAAGCATATGTTTACACAGTTTATACAACTTTAGGAATCAAAAAGAACTGTAATTTAGATGTGCAACAAGGCCCTGAAACTTGCACTTTATATAAACACAGATCTGAAGAGGTACAAAAGTAAGACATTGTTTTTTCAAAGAGATGAAGACTCAAAAGAGCAGGAGAGCATAACTGAAAAGTATACTTTGGTCATACCAGAAGCTGCAGCTGAGGCTTTGTTACTGGCAGCAAAACGGTAAAATGGAGGATTATCACAATGCTGGACTATTGGGTTCACTGGGTCGGTTTGTTGCAGCTCAAAAAGAAGCTCTTCCATTGTCTGAATAGTGTTATTGCGACATAGATATATTGCAACCTTCTTTATCTAGAGAAGAAAATAACAGTTATTAAACTCTGTCCAAAGTGAATTTCCAAAGAAATCAATACATGTTACAGTGCAGTACTGAAAAGATCCAGAATGCAAATGTTACTCCTGGACAGACACCACAACCACACAACTGCATCTGTCTTATTCATACAGAAATAAAACTGGTCATTTTGATATCAAGATCATTTCCCCAGCAGAGCAAATCTGTGATCTAATTACCCCAAAGTTTTTGCTTACCATCCACAAATGAGCTGCTTAGGTATATAACTATATAACATACACCTATACAAAACCCACCTAATTTTGTACCTATCATTTAAGGATATCAGCATTAACTCTGAATCACACTCAGGGATTTATAGTTTGAGTATGTGATTTCCATTGAAGATGAATCTTTCTCTCTCGAATGGAGAAAACTTCTCATCTAGAAAACTAGATCCTCCCAAAACTTCATGCCTGTATTTCCAGATACGGTTGATGTGAAAGAGGTAGCTGTAGCCACAAAAAATAAGCCAGGCTCTTGAGTAGCTATTTATATCTGTAATCAAAGTAATAGCACATGGGAAAAAGGCAGAGCAATTATGTACACAGACTTCATGCATCCTGATTTGAAAAATCTGAGAGTATCCTTTATAGAAATTCTGGGAATTTCTATAAATCTTTTAACAAGACCTCAAACCTTATTGTATGCACTGCAGCAATGAGGACTGTTGAGATACTGAGAACAAATTAAACTGAATTCTTGAGGGAAAAAACCCTGATGGCTATTAAAAGCAGAGATTCTCTCTGGCTCAAAACCATTTCATTCATAAACTGCTGGAGCTGGGAGACCATATGGGGAAACATCTCTCTGTGCTTGCTGCCTTGTTTTTAAAGATGTCCCTTAAACAGATGCTTAGAGTGGAGCTAATACACTGGACTGAACTGCCTGTTGGCCTCACCAAGTATTGCTGTTCTCATGCTCTTAAATACTTCCATTAAAATAACTTCCTGACTGCTTCTCTTTCCCAATTTTTCCTTTTGTTTTGCTTAAAGTAGAGAAATGCACATATTCAAAGACTCTTTTACTCTAATGTGCTAAAAATTTCCCAGGGACTTTCCACCTCCTTTCCGAGGCTCATTTCTAGTTGGGCTCACAGTGCCATTTCCAGCTTCTTTCACCCCAGAAGGGGTCATGTTCCCTCCACTAAGTCTTTGTTGAAGAGGTTTCTGAACTGTAAATATTCTAAGAAATCTTTCAGTATGTATGTGAAAGAAAGGACAGCTCACCCATTTGCACTGGGGCACTGGGGAAAAATGCTTAAAGGAAACATAAGAGACAAAGCAATGAATTTAGCTGATTGAAAAAAAAATTTAAAAAATCTAAGTCAGGCATGCTTTTGGCTTGGACCCACACAGGCAGAACAGATGGCTGAAGGCATGAAGCAGCTGGTGACTGCCTTGGGCACAGAGGGCTCCAAAAGGAGATGGGTAGACTGGCAATCTTGCAAGTATGTGGTCTTTTGAGCCCAGGTGAGCTGGAACAGTGCTGATAAACTGTTCGAATTATCTTTATTTGCTAATGTGTATGTGTTATCTACATGATAATGGAAGATACATGTTTATGGTATCAGCAGTCTTGTGTAGTTAGCAGAGTTAGGTATGATTTCTTATCTGTAAACTCCAGGGCATTATCAGAACACTAAGCAGATGCGTTTGATAAGCCCTGTGTATTTTCCTACTCCAGACAAAGCTATCAGTTAAGGGGTGACTCATAAGTATAGTCAGGCTTCCTACAGAAGTTGAAAACTTTTCCAGATTTTGCAAAATCCGAGAATCAGACTTTTAACTCAACATTACAGAACACAGACTAACAGGGTGGCAGAAAACACAGGAATTTTGTCAGCTGCCACCACCAATGAAGACGACGACACCTTGTTAACAGCCACTGGAAGCCTGGGAGGGAGAGCAGAGAAGTCCCACAGGCAAAATAAGAGATGCTGAGCAGATGAAGCTGGAGATGCCAAAACAGACTGCTCTCTTTGTGGAGTAAGAGAACTGGAAGACAGGACTGTGAGAGCCAAGGCTTCGAGGCAAGGGTGTTTGGAAAGAATTCGAAGAAAGAAAAAGTGCTATGGGTAGGAAGGGGGTTTGAGGTAGCTTGCTCAGAGCTGTGGGATGGCAACAGTTTTGGCAAAATGATGTGTTGAAAGCTCTGGGTTGGCAAGTATCTGGATGGGGGGATGAGATATATGAGGGGCTCCTGGGCAAGAGGTGACAGGGTTATCAGGCATTTCCAATCAGGCTACAGATTTAGGAATGAGTCATATACTCACCACAGGACTACTCCTTCCTTTTAGAAAACTGCCCCTATTCCTTTTAATTTTTTTTTTTTAATTATTTTTTTTATTCCTAATAGCTGTCAGAAATAAAACAGCCCTCATTTTGTCTCTTATCTCTGTGATTTCCACTTGTTCTCTGTCAACATAGCTCCTCCTGATGGAGGCCACCTTTGGGCCTGATCCCAAGTCTGTCATGGATTGTAGGATCAGTCAGGTTGGAAAGAACCTGGGAGGTCTCTCATCTAACCTCCTGCTCAAAGCATGGTCAACACTGAATGGAGAGGCTCTGTCACTCTGTCACAATTGATAGAAAGATCTTCATTACCCTCAAGATACTTGGGATCAACCCCTTTGTCTTCGTATATAAACCTTGAGTTTGTTCTTACAGCAACTCCACTTCCAAATCTTTCCTCTTTTGATTAGCTAGGCAACACTGACTTTGCATATCTATGCACTGATTTGAGAATATAGAACAGTAAACCCTACAAATAAAAAGAAACCAACAAGTTGTCTACAGTACAATAACATCTTGAAAATTTTTAGGGTGTTCTGTATTTCCTTTATTCTATTATGCAGAGCAGTCATCATAAAGACTTTAAGCAAAGTCTTATTTCAGCAACTGTAAATGAAGTATGTTTATGAAGCTTTTTAGATAAGTTTAATCACATTAATAGTAATTTCAAATTTATTTCAGGGAAATCAATAGAAAGAGGCTAACTAATAAAATAGCATATTGTAATTGTCCTGGAAAATTTACTAAATTTAGATTCTGCTTCATCCAGCAACTGAGCAATAAGGAACATGGGAATGGGACTATCTTGCTTTTCTCAGACAGCCCTGATTTTATTTTAACTTGAATAATAACAATATCCTGCACAGTTTGACTTGTACATTGCAGGAACAGTTATATAATTCATGACAGCCATGCAAAGGCAAAAGTTGATACGGTAAGGAGCTTATAAAGGTTAGCTATCTTGTGCCTCTTGAGATGTCCCACAGAAAGCCTTAGTCTGCTAAAGGAGAAGAGAATGTAGCACTTTCTTAAAACCACATGCTTTTCTGAAGGAACACCTAAATCTTTACAACAAACAAACTAATAAGATCATAGCATGTTATGTCCCATTCATGATATAACATCCATTGTTTAAAGGACTTTCAAAATTTAACTAATAGCTTTGTAAACTAATTGATTACTGACAAAAATTATAAGCATTTAGTATTTTTACTTCTCTTCATTCTTCATGCAAGTTATTTAACCTCTGAACAGCCATTCTGTCTTTTTAATAAAATTTTAAATATATACATAAATTGCATATTTTTATGCAATTCTGACATGAAAAAGTATTTCTAATATTTTTTCTTGTTCATTCTGGCAACTTACGGCCAGTCCCTGTTACTGGCCCCTTACACAGACATGCAAAGTTGCTCTTTGCTTGAGAGGAGCCCACCTCTTGCTTGAAATGAGATGTGCTCCACTGGTGGAGACTGAGATTCCCACTACTCAATTCCTTTCTTGAATTTCAGTTTCTCGGCTCATTTATTCCTGTGATTTAATTTTGTACAGTGTGCCAGGGAATATGTTGGTACTACTTATTTTTGAAACAGAAATGCATTTTCTGCAGGTGATAGCTGTTTTCATTAAAACCCATGCAACCAATAGTAAATAAAATGCAAACACTTACATAAGGTAAAAGGATGGTATCACTGCTAACACCACACAAACTAATGAGAAACTGCAGTGTTATCCTAAGGTTGTTACTCCATTTTTCATTGTTGGCCAAAGCATTCCAGACATTTTCCATCTCTGGTCCAGGAATTTCATCTCCATACTGCAAAGGATCATAGGTATACATTTCTTGAAATATGCAGACTTCTAAGCTAAGGCATGCTCTTTTAGAGCATTTTCTCATACAAAACCAACAGTAAAATGCTGTAAAAAGTGACAAAACAGTACTTTCAAAAGCTACCTGACAGACTTCAGAGCATAAATTCTATTTAAAAGTATTTAGGTTCAGATCCACAGAAGGACTTAAATCACACACAAAAAAAAAGTCTGTCAGGAATGTAAATTCAAAAGGTGATCCTAAAATCAAGCAGTTTATTGGGTTTCATCTTTACAGTTGTTCAAGCAACTGAAGTTCTGTTTCTGCATGTCTGTACCTAAGTGCTTCAGCCTTCACAGTAGTGAACAATTCAGCACCTCTCTCCTGAGTAAATCCTAGCAGAATTAAGCATTAGACAGCCCTTTGCTTTCACATTGGAAACAAGCAGCTTTCGCTCTCTTTTGCAAGACACAGTTATAGGAATGACTCCCTTTTGTCCAGTCATTTAAATGGTTAGTGCATGCATCCAGGATGTGGGAGTCTAGAATTGAAGCTGTTCTCTTTCCTATGTAAAATCTTTGGCTCCCACTTTGAGAAGACTGTTTTAACCACTGCACAGACTGACATTCTGCTAGGAGAGGAGTGGCAATCTCCAGGTCATGCTATTCTACTGAAAATGCTTTAATACATCTACACTGTCACTGGCATCTACATCTACCGGCATCTACACTGGCACTTGCAGGAGCCAGTCCCTTTATCACACATACAGCCTCAAAGCTAGGTCATTCAATATGGTTTGAAGAAAGCATACTTGTTCAATCTGGAACAAAAACTTTGTGTGGTTTTGGAAGCAACTTGTTCCATAAGACTGTATTACATCTGTTTTCAACCCATAAAATTCCTCTAACAATATCCTCGAGGCTCGGTACCACTAGATAATTCACGAGCCAGTATCATACCACGGATACGCAACAAGTATCAAACAAACATTCTGGTGGGCTGAAGCACAGCCCCCACATTACTTCAGACATGCTCATATGGCAAAATGCACACAAAATAATAAATTCTGTTTTACTTACAGGGCCTCAACTTGAGGCAAGATCCAGAATCAACTGCTATGTTGCATGGACACAGACATTCTGCTCGAGAGAGGATTAACCCTGAGCAGGATAGGAAATGTGAACCACTCTGTCCCATATGACATAGGTACCAGGCATTACTTCCTGAGGTATTTAGCAGTTCAGACATATGTACTGAATTTGGCAAAAGCAGTACCAGAGCAGGCACAGCACACTAGTATAGCAGCCTGCAACTCAGCAAAGAGAAGGAAAAGATGGATTCCCGGTACCTTCTCCACCAGCTGCTTAGGCATTTTACATGAAAAAGTAATTGGAAAGAAGGAATCCCTGGTCCTTTATCAGGACCTGGGATGTAAAATACCTTCCCTTTTACAAAAGAATGCTTTAACTATCACCTTAGAAATTTATGCTAATTTTTTCATTTTCTCTCTCTCAAAGAATATTTAAGTGTTTTCTAGACAGTACAAGAGCTTCAATAGGACAAATTCCAGGTGCTCATTCTCACCCCCAAATAAACTTTCATCTGCTACCTTAGACATTAACCAGGGAGGTGATACAGGAGGGAACTGAACTTAGTTCCTCTATAACTAATGCTTAATGCTCTCACTATTAAGTTTTTTTTTTAAAGGGTGAAACACTTTTCTTTGTTCATGTTTTGAAAGAGAACAGTTTTAGCATTGTCCTTAAAAGAAAAAGTGAAGGAACTTCTTCAAAAAGAAGATTGCGCCTGATTAGTACAGACTGTTCCAGTGCAAAATTTCTGGTATCAGAGGGAAGAAACCTAAGTATCTTTTGCTTAAGAGACGTAAGTTTGAAAATTTCAGAAATTGTTTTACAGGTTGGGTTTTTTGTTTGTTTTGCTCCTTTACCTTGGCTGTCATATACATGAGATTATTAAGAACCAGTGAGGTGGCCTCAGGAGAGCCCCAGCCATTGCCTTTTAGTCCGCTTGTGACTGTTATTGCCCCATCCTTGTCCTTCAGTTCATCTTCTGGAGTGGTAGGGCTTGAACCAGGGAGGAGCAGTCTGTTGTCTACAAGTTCAATATTATGAAGCCATGGTAGCAGATAGGTAAGCATGATCTGTCTTCCATTTGGATGTGTTGTTGGAAATCGCTGGCTTACCTCTAAAATAGCAGAAGTTGAAAAGGACATGTTAGTTTATGAAGGAAACCTTAAATACATGGTTTAAATCAGATTTCTGACATATTTTAGACCACCTGATGGTTTTACCTTGCAAGCCACAAGCATAAAAAAGCATGTACGTGAGCTTCCTGAAGAGAAATATTAATTTAATGGTCAATAATAGCAAGCAATTGCTCAGGTCTTCTGTCTAAAATAACTAACGTAGCCTGGGCTTAGAAACAGAAAGTCACCCCTTGTTACTGTGCCATATTATGTGTTAAGTGAAATGAATGTCAGTAAAGAGGATAACTCAGTTACTGGCTGTTATTCGAGAATTTCAAGAGCTCTTGGAGAATTACAACAAAAATCAATACAATTAAAAATTTTCAAGACATACACTGTCCTCTCTCCTTACGATTCTAGATGTATAGAAAGGGGCTCTGATTTGGACTGTATCTGAGTTATTTTAAACAACATAGCCACCACAGCAACATGAATAGATGGTAACAGTGATGATGAACAACATTTGCTTTTTTTAAGATAAATGAGCCATCAGAATTTCCCTAAAAAAGTTATTTATAACTCATGGTATCTTGGGCACTAAGAAATGGATGATGTATTGTTCCTTCACCCTTCCTCCAGCCCCTACAGACTGAGTAAAAACAACAGAATGGGTTTTTAAAAGCCAGTAAGAATTCCCACGATTACAGACATTGCATTCTGTTACTTAAAAACTAGAGCAACACATTAGATGGATAAAACCAGACAGATAGGTCTCAAAATGTAATTGTTCCCAGGAATGGTCTCAGAGTGGGCATATTTTGAATGGTGCTCCTGTAGATCTGATTCTTTAACATTTTTCTCAGTAACCCTGACAAAATATATTTCTGATAAAATTAAAATGAAACTAATGACTTGCAGATGTGCCAAATAACAGAAGGTAGAAGTCACTCACTCAGAGTGATTTGAATCATTGGTAAAAGTGGACACATGCAATCAATCCTCCCAAAGTTAAAGTCATGTTTATATAAAATGAAGAATTCTATCCTCACAAGTATCATCTATATAAATGTATGTATAAGAAGAATCACTATGCTTAACACGAGAACCCATTATAGTAGAGTTTGCCAATGTCACTTTAACTTATCCAGGGCCCTTGTAATTTCAAAGTTACCCTAGGATGACACAAGCAGCACAGAATCCCCAACCAAGGTTTTCAAACAGCTATTCTGTACTTTGTTTAAGTACCTCTAGGAAATATATATTGCATTCCTAAATCTGATCTGACCTGAACCAGAATAAAACCAGGTCAAGTTAAATTTATAAACAGAATTGCTGTTCACAGATGGAAATGCCTTAGCACTCTACCATTTGTACAAAAATGTAAAGTAGATAATAAGTCAAAGAGATATAGGTACCTGAAAAAAGTGGAAGGGTAAGTTCAGGATACATCCTTGCTAGTTCATATGAAAGAAGGGCAAGCGAGACACTGTAAAGAGGTGGCAATGGACCATGTGTACCATACAAGATACTGCCTGGTCTTTGCTCAGCTACCTTTTTTGAATAAACAAAAAGCTTTGATTCAAGGATCTATGAAAGAGAAAAAATAATGTAATGAGACAATAAAAATTCATTAATTCAGGAAATGTCAGCATTTCAAGTTTAGATATCAGAGAATGATTTATACGCTTTGGAATATACTCTCCACATTTGAAAGACACCATAATTAATATTTTTCCATTAATTTTTATATAAATATTCCCGTAAGTATTTATAGCCAAGAAAAAACTAATTGTTTGTTTTCAAAACAAAACTAAAAACCAAATAAACAGTACTTTATAAGTTCACAAAAAACCCCCAAAGATAGGAGGACACATGCATTTGGTTGTTTTAAAAAAAAATAGCTGATACATGCCTGCATAAGTTGCATGGAAATTTCATAAATCTCTCTGTTGGTGTCAGATGCCTTGAAGAGCACCAAGTTTAAAAGCGTCACTATATCAAAAGGATAGTTCCTAGAAGAATAAACAGTACATTTTTCTGAATGTTGGTGAGGAATGCAGATTATATTCACTCTGATTTACTCTGTAATATGGTCTGAAGAGAATGTCATTTTTCTTTTCTCTGTTCTACCACCAGAATATGGGAAAGTGAGCTTTTATGAATACACGCTACTTGATCAAAGGGCCATCTGGTGAATGGGAAGAAAGAAAAGATTATTTATAATTACCTTAGACTAATGCTTAGGAATGCACTGAGTTACTCACAGTGAGAAATGCAATACCTGTGTCTGTAACTGTTAATTCATTTTAATTTATAACATAAACTGTTTATGGAACAGGCCAACACCCATGAGAGAAGATGGGTAGCACGAAAATTTCCAGGGATAAAGTACTTCCTCTTAAGCCAAGCTGCAACTAAAATATTTGGAATCTGCAAAGTCCCTTTGGGGAAAAGGCACTATCTCTGACATGAACACTCCCAGATGTTAGACAGTTCTATCAAAATTGTTTTCAAAGAGTCAACAGGAGGAACTGCTTCAAAAAGTCCACTATCTATAAAGTCAACATTAATTGTAAGGTTAAACATATTAGTGTTAGCCTAATGAGAATATTGCTAGAAGAGCAATTCCCATGTTACAATGTTTGGATTTTCACTAAAAAAGCTTTCGCTTTTTAATGATGATTTGTAAATGCACCTGATTCAATTGTGAACCATCCATTTCTCATCCTAGATGTGAGCTACTGTGCTCCTGGATGGCTGCAGAATGCCTATTTGGATATTTTAATGTTAAAAAATATGGCAAACACATGTGTGGCATGGGACGTTCTTGGTAATTCCAAATACTAGCTGCAATGCACCCTCTACACCTGTCTCTTTGCCCTTCCCCGAAGTTTAAAAAATAATAATAAAAAGCAAGTTAAGGGAAGTGGCTTCTATGTAGAAAGACAGACATCAACAATGAGATACATTACTGCTCATTTTACAAGTAGTTTAAGCAGTGGCCTCTCTATACATGTTGATAGACAACAGAGGAAAAACTGTTAACAGCTTTCAAGTATTAATAAAAATCCCCAACTTGATAGAAATCGGACTTTCCCTTCAAAGTAAATCATGCAGATCATACTCTCAATTTTTACTGTAGGTATGTGAAAGATTACTTTTTAGGGCACAGTGGCATAGGTAACACAATCCGAGGAAAAAACACTGGCTGATACGTTTATGTGTTCATTAAACAAAAAAAAATCTTAAAATAACTGAATTTGCAAACACAAAATTCCATTCATATTTTTAAAATCTCAGTATAATGCAGACTATAATCTAGTTGTTCCTGTAAAAACAAACAAAAAAAACCCAAAATGTTTTTACAGATAAATTCTAAAATACTTCACTTGTTTTGATTTGCTATATCCCAAGTATTTCTCTATTGAACTATGTTGATCACATATCTTGCCAAATTATTTTTTGTCAAGACTAAAATTTTCAGATTTTAATTAGGTGCAAATTATCTTCTTTTTTTAGACTACCATTAAATTTCTCTATAACTTTTGTCTTGAAAAGATATAAGAAAAAAAAATTTTCTGAAGGCCTGACACAAAAGCAGTATTTGTATTTGTGTCTTCATTTAGCTTGTGCTTGCTTAGCATTAGCAGCAGTGATGATACCAGCCTACAGAAAAGGAACAGGTAACCAAATCAAATGAAAGCCAGTTACAAAAAAACCAAAATAATTACTTTCAAGCTAATAACATTTAAAATGTTTTTCCTTTTATAAAGTAAATGAAAAACCATGCCAAATCTTTTGAAACTAGATTTATGACCTATGTTCAAATTAAAGTGTTGTGGTTATTTTGTATCTTCCTGAGCAAAATAGCATAAAAATGCCACAGATTTCAAATATACATATAGTAAGAGCATCTTCTACCATGCGCATCACTTTGTTTTCAGAATCATGGAAATAAAGCGATACAGACCCTGAGAGTTGTTTGAGAGGATATAACGTAAGTGTGACTAACAATTCTTCTACAACACAAGCTGAACCTACATTTTTATTTACATTTGAAAGTGTAGATTAATAGATTAATTAATACCTGCTTCCACACACAGTTGCAATGGCTTTGAAACATCCAGAGGCAAGCTGGTATGATCCAGTATAACATCGATCTATAGCCCAGTTGAAGAGATTGATCTGATCAGGATTCAGTTCTAGCAACAGGACTACAACTTCACAGCCAAGCTGATGAACCTGAGCAAATAAATACACGTCAAAACATGACTGGTGAGATCAAATATGCTCATTCTCTAGAATTCTTAGAGTGACATAGGCAAAACAAGGGGAAAACGCAGTATTCAAAGTAAGTAAAAAGAAATCAGAAAATTTATCGTAAATTTATTTTAGGGATAGCAGAGTTGAAATGTGACTCAGTTTTCAATACTCCTCACTTGAAAGAAAACTGTATGTATGAAAACTACATAAATGAAATACATTTTCAAAGGAGGTTTCCAAAATTAAGCATAGAAAAAAGCAGAATCTTTGGAAAATCTAAGACACTTGATAGGTGTTCTTGGGCAACTTCCATTTGTATTGGTTAACTGATTTGTTTAATGTTTATTTCCTACTTCATGTGAGTTTCATAAAGTGACACACTTTCAGGTTTAATCTTCTTTTGACTAACACAGTAGCAAGGTAGACAAAAATACCTTTTCCAAGCCCGCGGGTATGCAAACTTGTATGTTTAATCCAACTACGTCAAGCAATCTAATGACTCTCCCTATAGACCTTTTATCACTTAATCCTGGTACTACCACTGCTACAAACACATCACAACTAAGGGTTGGACTGTGCCTTTGTGATCCTTCAGTAGAGGATAGGACTAGAACACCAAACACTAATGCCTGTTAATATTCTGTCACCAAGTGTAGGTAACTACTTGTAAAGACTGCAAATGATATTTAACGTTAATGGACCGGGTAGGATTCTTCTCACCTAAATCTGAACTAATTGTACAGGCAATGCAGTTTAGTTACAGTCCTTCACTACAATGATTAATCATGAATTACAGTAATTAGCTTAGGGGAAACAAATTTCACCTATCATATCCAAATTTTGCACTTCAAGGGGAAAAGTTAAAAAAAGGTAATTTTTGTCCCCAGTTACTTTATGAGTGGTGTATACTAATGATCAGTTAGACATGGTGATATAATATTTGTTGATGACAATGAAAACATGTCAGGAGCAAAAGCGTACCTTTTCCTTTCTCTTGTTCTGTGTGTTTCCTTCCCACATCCCTAAGAATTTCAATTATACATATCACTTACACATATCTTTATAGCTTCATCCCTACCAACATTCCAAAATCCTATCTAATTTCCAAAAGATTTTCTCTGTAGCCATCCCTTCTTTCTTCTAATTTGTCCAACCTTTTTTTTCCTAATCAATTACCATTTCTACAGCATGTATCCTCTAGTTGCTCCACAAGCCTTTAGGCTTTGCTGTCTGCATTTTTTTAGCAATCACAGTCACCTGTGCTGGTATGAGACTTTTAGGGAGAACAGCAGGTCAAAGTGCAAGATATCACAAAGGGAAAGATTATTGTTCTCTCTCTCCACTAAAGGGAAAGATTATTGTTCTCTCTCTCCACTTGATGTAAATCACCAATTTACTCCTCCTTAATCAAAGAGAGAGTCCAATCAGCTATAAATATAGAAATATGACTGGGTAGTTACAAAGTCAACAGGGAAACCCATCTTCACAGAAATGGAAGAGAAAATTGCAAGAACAATCTATTACGTGTTCTTTAAAAAAAATTTTATTTTGTTCCTCTCCTGAATCATTCATCCTCTTGACTTCTTTGGAAGATCTACCCACGCACTTTCACTCAGATTTGTTTCACCAGCATCTATGTTACCAACCAGGAAGGGATTTTACATTCTTATTCCACAGAAACTTGAAGCAGGTGGGTGGAAGTACTCCAAATAGAAGTACAAATATTTTTGAGCTCGTGCCATTTTTAACCTTTCTTTATCAGCAGATGAAAAGCTTAAATTTCTGTTGCAAGCAATACTGAACCATAAGGCAATTTTTTTAGGTTATTATTTACCTACATTATATTTTCAGAAATAATAATTTTTACTGTTTAAATGCTTTTAAATTAACTACACTTTTGTATTAGAACCTTGCATAAAGCTATTGTTTCCTGCTCAAAATAGAATGTATACAGTCATAGTTCTTACAGTCACGAACTCTTTACTCACCCAGTAAAGAGATTAAAATTATTCATCAGTGGTGCGTTTTGGTGAGTACTTACACGTAAATCTTGACAAGCCAGAATGTTATCAAGCCATTTGTAAAGATATCCATCAGGGGAAAGACCAACATTATCAAATACAGGTCCACAGCAGAGCACAGCTGACATGGCCTAAAAACAAAAGGAACTTTAGTTACACAAAGAAGTAACGTGAATAAACCTTTCAGAATTATTTGAGCCTGGGTCCAGGCTAACAGGACTGCCACTTGTTTTTATTTTTGAGGGAACTATGGTGAAAATGGTAACAGCTGATTTGGCTAGATTTCAATAATTAGGTTGCTATAGATGTTATTGGATTTCAAAATAACACTGGTAATCCTGCATTTTGGCAGCAATATTACAGCCCAGTTTCCCCATTCTTCAAGATACATTTTGTCAATTTACCCAATCTTTACAAATCAAGCTGCAAAAACAATTAAAATACACAGAATTTTTAATAGCACCTTTCTGCAAAAATTAGAATTGTTGTATACCAAGTGATGCAGCTTATGTAAGTACATAAGCTATTATTTTCCCAGATTACTTACGTGGGTGAGTTGCAACTGGTTTTGCCGCAAAAGTATTTTATTATTATTGACCATGTCTCCAGGCAAGCATGGGAGACAGTCCTGAGATGAGCATGTGATACTGAATTGGTACTAAATTTAATTTCAGAGCCTAATATCCTCCAATTGAATCTGATAGCCTGTTTATGAACAGCTACGTGAAATTTTAAAATGCATTCTGGTTTTGAAAATAATTAGCCTTGAAAAGTGTCTACAAAGAAAAAAATGCATAACTTCAGGCTCATACTGCTATATTCTATGATACCACTATACATATATGTATGAGTATACAAGTTTGCATCAAGTATGCCAATTCAAATTTCTGTGAAATAAAAGGAAATAAAACCCACAATTACTTGTATTTTGTCTGGAAAATTGCTATTACTGATTTTGACAGTAAAACTTTAATACCTTTAATGCACAATACTGATATCTTGTAATCTGATGATTTCTATCACTGTAACGGTCCAGCGGTGTGAACATAATACTGAAAGGTCCTGCCCACTGGCTGAATAAAATGAACAGGTGATGCCTCAAGCTCTGCTGAGGGAAGAGAAATCTCCTGTGGTGAACTAAGTGAACAGAAATAGAAATAGTTGTGATTCGTTAATGGTAAATACACAATCATGTGGCAGAGATGGTAGCATGAATTTCAAATTTCTATAAATAGGGAGTTTTTCTTAAATGTTCAGTATACACTTACTCCAAAGTATCTAAGCTCCTTTAAAAAATCTAACGTAGTGAATAAGATGCATCTTTTTTCTAAGAACCTTCAGTTCTGAATTAATGTGTATTTATACAAACCGGTACATGTTTGTATACATTTATACAACATGTACGTGTACTGACTTCTATACAACATGTACGTGTACTGACTTCTATACAACATGTACATGTACTGACTTCAGAGACAGCACGCAAGAAACTAATTATAGCATCAGGCTTTTCAATGCCTCTTGCATTCCTTTAATGGTAAATATTTACTTGTTTTTTCCAATCCTTTAAATGCAAGCTCAGACATACATATGTCTTACTCTAATACAGTAACAGGTAGGGACAATAAATAGAAGAAACTTGGTGCCTGCTTGTTTACGACAAAGATGTGGTATATTTTCTGAACAGCTAAATTACCTGAGCAAATGAAAAATATCTATTAATTCTTAACCATGTGGAGATGAAAAATAGAAATCTTTTAAACAACAGTTTTAATTCGCCAAAGCAAAACATGATGGCAGATGCGGTACTACGTTTATTAAAGAGACTGGCAAACTGCTACTGGCCAATTATTTTTCATCTATAAACTGTGCTGGAAGCCAACAAAGTCTAACTAGACAATACTAATGCAAATCAATATGAACAGTGGATAAAGATGATAGATGTTGACACAATAAACTTTTGTTTGCTCGGAGTTAAATGTTATGGCTTTGTTAGTTAGTGATATATTTTAAAGCCGCCTAGTTAGCAGAAAATACATCTCTTTACAGAATTACATACTGAATTATTGAAATGCAGCAGTTTTTCTTGCACTCTCTCAAAACATACAACATGGCTGTTTCATTGTGGAAAATCCATACAACATGCAGTCCTCTGCCATGTGCCTTGTAGAATGTGAGAATAAATGCAATGAGGAAAGCCTTTGCAAATACTCCTGGCAATGTAACTACTGAAGAAATTCTGTATTGTTAATGAGCATAATTCAGAACAGGAATAAAGGAAAGAAATTCAGTATTTTGTTTGTTAACAGCAGCTAAGAACTTGACACCACTCCTTATCTTGTTTAACTATTATATACTTTTTATGTATCTTACAACTGAAAGCAACTATATGACGTTGACAAAATTTGCACACTGGAAACTTACATGAAAACATTTCTTCATTATTTATTCCCTTATTGTACTTTTCTGAATTCCTTTTTATTTGTTGCTACCAATGCTGTTATGTCCTGTCATAAATGATCTGGAGATGGCAGATTTACATAGACTGAGTAATCTCCGGAGTTTATCTTCCAGCAATTACATGGACTTTAAAGCAGACTTTTTTTTTTTTTTTTTTTTTTTTTGGCGGCTAATGGAATTACATTACTTTTCTGAAGCGATCTTGCAATATATAAGAAGCATGAAATTGGAGAAATCTTTGCGATACAACTGCAGTCAGGTAATATGGGATACAATCTCAACACCTCAGGCAAGTTTTTCACCATGTTTAATATTGTACATTTCTGCACCTACCCATATTTTTCAAGGCCTGTCTGAGTTTATGAAAAGTCTGGCAATAAAGTGAAAGGGAAGCAAATAAGGCCTTATGTCAAAGAAATCTGGAGCCCCTAGAAGTCAAAGACCATTTCTTTCCTGGGCTTTTAAAAAGATGATTGTTATATATGAATACTACAAGCTTCAACAAGCTTTACTGTTTTTTTATTTGGCTCTTAACAGACTTTTGAACACATTTTTGTCCACATTCCCCTTTACATTCACTATATGACAATTCACAAGCAGTGAAAAAAGCACAGAAAAAAAGAAAAAAAAAATTACTTTTCCAATACATATAATAAATGCAATTTCATAGCATGTTGAGATAATTTAGCACCATACCTGGAACACACTGAATCAAGTTGGCAATCATTGCACTGAAATGTGCTCTCATATCCTTAAGGATTTCAACTTCTTTATCATTTTCAGCCTCCAGAAGCATGCGAGTCAGATCAACATACTCTAAGAACAAGGCTCCAAGGGCTAACGTATCTCTTTCTAAGGCTCCATTTGTACTAGCATAAAGGAAAGGTGTACATTAATATAGAGTAACAGTGTAGTTATACTACAGCTTTCTGAAGAAATGCAAAAATATCTCCATATCTGATGATAGATTATACAATTCTTCAAAGAACATACTGACATAAACTCAGTGTTGTAAACACCGAAAATTATTTCACTTAAAGTTCAATATTTATGATGAGTGATAGTCCTACCTGTCACTTATAACACCAGCATCAGCAAGTAGTTCAAAAATTCGCAGTAACTGTAGTCTTAGTAGATCTCGGCGTTCTCGACGTTTCTTGTTCTTGGAATTTAAAAAAACAACCATTTTTTATATGCACAGGTGCATACATTAAAAACCAGTAACTTCAGAAATGTCAATACAGTAGTGAGATTTAAGAATTCCAGTTCAAGCATTTTGTCATGAAGGAACTTGACTGCTTTTGGATATTTCATCATAACACTGTGCTTACACATCCACACAGAACTAAATATGATCAAATTTTTGTCTTTGTAACTATTCTTGAACAAACTGTTAACAGCTACCTTAGCCCTCATTGAAAATGTGGAAATGAAATAATGAAATACTGGATAAAAATTAATTAATATTCAAGGTTCCTGTGCTAAAAAGCATGCTATCTTCAGGTAGCAGGCGTATTCATGTTAGCTTAACACCATCTAGTTTGGGTGCTGGAGGCATTGTAAAGTGCAGAACAGATATCCAGACCCCAGGAAAATATTTCATTACCATTCTTGAACTTGGTAAAGCTGTAGCTATATGACCACCTATATTCAAGTTAGCTCCTAGCAGACACCGCTCTAGTACACTCTTGGATGTGTTGACTGCAGTGGTTGTACACACAGTTGACATACTCCTCCCATAGAGTAGGACTGCACTGTTGTTAACAGCTTCACTGTATCTCATTGTCTTCTAGAAAGCTGTCTTTTCTGTCTTCTGTCTTGCCTTGAAAGATGTGAATGCAACAAGGCCTTCAGCCTTTCCTGAAGCGCTAAATTGACTTTTTTCTTTCTATCCTGCATCTCCACTAAGCAAAAAATGTGAGAAGGTTAAAAAGCTGCTATTGCACTCAAAGAAATTTGCTGCCGGAACAAGAAGAGAAGAAAAGCTCAGGGAAAGCTCAGATTTTCCTCTTCAGAATGTAAGAATGCCAATACTGAGTCAGATACAAGGCTTATCTCATCTAGCACTCTGGCTCTGCCGATGGCCAGTAGCAGATGTGTGGGAGAAAAAAATGATACTTTCCCTGGTATTCTGACCTAGAACTGGCAGTCTGCAGCATCCTAGCCAAAGGTTTTATTCAAATCATTATGCCATTTGAGTTGCCCTATTCAGAGCCCTGTTTTTCTCCCTTTACACCTCAAAGGTTCCAGGAAGCACATGTAGAGTAAAAAAGCAGTTTTATTGTAACACAGTACTTAACAGGCACAGCTGTCTCCTGCAACAGTGTCAGAGGCAATCTGGCAAGCTCTTTGCCAGTGCCCACATGGCAGATCTTGTGTAATGTCCATTTTGGTTTACTCCTGCAGTTCTTGGCTGTGCTGGTAATTCTCTTTCTAGTCATAATATATGTCAGTTCAAGGACATTATTTCTGATCTGTTGGATACCTGCCTGCTGACATGGAGGCCTGCCATGTTCTCTACAGCCACGCGACCCATACAGTCACTCCTGGATTTACTGGTAGCGCTGCTTGCAGGAAGGTGGCCCAGTTCTTCACATCAGGAGCAATACAGGAATAAACATTGCAGTCTTTTGTTCTCATATTCCTCTACTGACATTTCCATGTGCTAAATTTGCTCTTACAGCATACTGTAAACCTCTGCATTCTTGTGATTCCTTTCCCGAGTGTAGACTGGATATATATGTCTCCAGAAAAGGCCTTTCAAGTTGTCTTCAATGGTGCGCAGGCAGAAATGCACAGGCAAGTGGCTGCACTAATGTGTATTAATCCACTTCTGCCCAGTATCAAAACAAGTGACCTTCAAATCAATGACTTCATAGGGATGGAAGGCACACAATTGAATTGAGGTGTGAAGCAACACGGAGTGGAAATGGTAGTGGACGTTTGCCAGACACAGAATTATTAAGAATTGCCCACAAGAAAATTAACGTGAATGAAGAGCCCACGAAGTGAATTAATTTTTGTTTTTTTCCATATTGGGCATAGCTGAGAGCCTCTGTCCACCTACTAATGGTTTAACTTTTTCCTGACCACCATTCTCTGTGTGGCTTCTGCACCAAAGACTATGACTTGGCAGATGGGGACAGCACACCAGGTCACCACGATGATACCTTATTGAAACTGCTGTGGAGGACAGAGTAGTGAACACACAGTTTGAAATTGCTTGAGAACCAGGTAAACAAGCCCAGGTAGAGGACAGTATTAATGCAACAACATTGCTTTCTGTACACAGCTGTGCAGACTTCTCAGCAGAGCTGCACAGACACAATGGCTGTGTCTACACTGGTAAACAGAGATGGACTGTTCATGTCAAAAAGTCAAGTAGCACAGACTGCCTTATATTCACACTGCTCCAGAAGACCTCAGGAAGGCTGGCTATTTCCATGATGCCTAGCAGGACTCATGCAATGCTTCTCTGCCCAAGGCATTATCATTGCCTGTTTTCTTATCACAAACTGCCTGCTCTAACCTGAGGGCTGTGCTGCAACCACAGCAGGCGTTTTGCAACCTGGCCCGTAGGCTGCTGCACACAGGGAGGTAGGGGATGAGGGGAAGCATACGGCTTGCCAATGTGATGCCCATCTACAA